TTTGCCTATGCTTCCAGTTTAACATATAAATAAGCAATAAAAACAAAATGTTGTATGCATACATACATACATACATACATGCATACATACATACATACATTTGTTACTTGATGTTTGACGGTTCAGTGTCACTCATCATGTTTTGGTTTTAACATGCATACATACATACCTCTTTATCTATTTATACATACAGGTTTATTTATTTAGTTATTTAAAGATGCGTTCATATATATACGTAATAACTATATTTTATAACTTAAAAACGAAAAAATCCTCATAGGCCTTCAACGCTTGCATCTGCTTTCCCACATGATTGCAGTTGAACGCTCCGTGCCAGCCGCGCCACACACGCCACATATTGCACATACATACCACACATCCAACACACCGCATCTTAAACATACACCAAAACATAAAAACCACACTTAACACATACACATATTAAACACGCTGCTTCTTACACATAGAAACTACTTGTATGGACGTTACAAGTATAAACAAAAATTATTAGAATAAAGCATTCCATGTATTAAAGTTTTATATAAATAAACAGTATTTAAATAATTTTTTTTGAATTTCTTCAAAATTATAAGTTTTAACGTGATTAAAAGCAAAACATATCATGTATTGGCTCAAGGCACGGCACAACAAATGTATTATCTTTCTTAGTAAATCTTTTCAAACGCAAAAAAAACGCTCAGAGTTTATGATTTGTATGCATTAATAACTTAATTCAGCAGGATATTATAGAATTTAAATCGTGCAAACTATCATGTGGCCCCAGCATGGCTCCAACAATTTTCTTTACAAATCTTCATTTTATCATTCTAATATATAATTGTATACGTGTGTACAAATGCCCGCATGTGTATATATGCATCTTTGTGTGTGGTAGCCACATTTACTTATAAATCTATTTATGGCGTCGTTGTTTGCATTGGACGTTAATGCGAGTAAGTCAAGCAAAAAAATGACATCAGGAAGGTTTTGTCATTTGTGACATTGTTTGTCCGCCATCTGCTGGATTGCAACGAAACAAAAAAACAAACGAATGAACAGGATTTAAGACGGGTTGTAGTGGTGTGCATCTCAAAATTTTTTCATCATAAAGCCGCTTTTGTCAACAAATTTTTAAAACAACTCATAAAACAAAAACATTAAAAATTATACTATAATAATGATAATTCCTATAATAATTGTTTATATTATAATTGTTATTTTTGTAGTAATAATAAACAAAGTACGAGCAGTAGCAGTAGCAGTAGTGGCAGTGAAAAAACACCTACTAAAAAGCCTCCCCACGGTAAAGCAAGCACTCTTCTATGAGGCTTCACTTTTGTAAGGTTTTGTAAAAAAAGTCTTTCGTGAGAGCTGTTAAATATTAACGCAAGGCACTTTTTAGGTACAAATATTTAGATTCGAATATTTTTTTAACGTCTGTTATTTTCTAACTAATAGAAGTCGCCATCATTTATAATGTTATAATTTTTCTTACTTTCGAAACAATAAATGGAAAATAGAAAATAATTCAAATAGTATGAATAGTTAATTGGCAAAAATAAAATATTCAAATTTTCTGGATAATGTAGCATGAAACTTTAAAAATAATACATTACCATTAGAATATAATATAATACAATAAAGTGTGATTTAATTGCTGATCCAAAAACTGAGATCTCTCTAGATATCGATCATAGATAGATATTAGATCATTTTATGTAATTATCTTTTATACTTCACATTTGTACGAAATAGAACAAGCCGCCGGATGAATTGGAAATGTAAAATCTTTCCAAATAAACTTCTTTGGAGTGCTGTTGGGACGTGGGTCCGCTTTGATAATATAACGGCCGCCATCAAAGTTTCCTATTGTCATTAAGTAATACATTTCTTTTATGTCTCATATGAGGTTGTTCATGGTTGTTGACACAGAAGCAAAAAATCGGTTAACTATATTTAAGAGTAGTTGTGGAAAATTAAATAAAAAAATAAATAAATTAAATAAATTAAAAAATCAACTGTAATTTGTCTTTACTGTTTTCATTATTTAAATTTTGTAGTTATAAATATTAATTTTTGGTTATTTTTTAAAATAATATAAATTGTTGAATGTACTTTTTAAAATTTTAAAATTAATTTCATTACTTTTACCGAAATGTTTTGCTAAAAGGGGAAACGAAATTTTTTTAAATCATAAGGCGAAGACAAAACGCAACGTTGAGTGTTGATGAAAAATATAGTTTAAATGATCGCCATGTTATGCTTTTCTAAATTTAAAACATCTTTTACTAAAATTAAAACATTTCGCGTTAGCGATTCTAAAATTTGAAAAAAATTCTCTTTTAAAGAAAGTGAAGAAACTTTACTAAAGGAACATAAGGAACATAACATGCCGCCGACGAAAATAAAAAATCGTTCTCCTCATAACTTCCAACCACTAAGAGATACTCGCTTCATCAATTATTTACCACCTTTATTACCTTACCCCTTTCTTGTGGCTATATTTTTACGGAGCGCCCATCAAAATAAAACCACTGCAGACTTTCAGATAGATGTTTATTTATAATGTATCTGAAAAAGTTAAAGTCAAACTTCCAAAAAACAACAACAGCTACATAATATATTTGTTGGCAAAAATCATTAAAAATATAATTATGAAAATAATAAATATAAATATAATAATAATTAATATAAATATAATAATAATCAATATAAATATATAAATAATTAGTATAATGATAATTAATGTAAGATGCAAATTGAAACAGCGCAAAAAATCCAGAAATGTGTCTACCTGTCTTGAACATTCCAAGCATTGAATCTTCTTCCAGGCGATGACAGACAGACAGGCAGACGTCGTTAAATAATTTCTTTGCAAAATTGTTCCTCTTTTCACTTTTCTACAATTTTTTTGCTAATTTTTGTTTGAATCAACGTTTTGGTTTGTTTTAAATAAATCAACTTTTTAGAAATATCTCTGAAGAAATTTTTTACGAAAACTCACTGAAACCATAAAAAAATGTTGTTCTGTAAAATGCACAAATATCTAGTGGCTCAAACAAATGATTTGTTTTAAGACGTTAATAATAAAAATAAATAATATTAATATAAGTATTATTCCGTTAAAGACCAACAAATGAAATGCTAAGAAGCGTTGTCACCTCACCAGCTTATAAGCTGTAAGTAGGCAGGTATCCATGTATTTATATTGGTGCGGTGTACCTACGTTTTATATTGCACTGGCAGACGCTCCGCTAAACATTTCATGTCTACGACCTGTTCATCTGCCTTATCTCCTCCAATAGTGCATTCTACGCAGCCCATGATATTTATTTCATTTTATTACACCGGCTAATTCTACATCATTCACAACGCTGAGCAAAAGCAAACAAACAAATAAATATGCACCGCTCGTGTAGATTTTACGGATGTTATGTTTGGCGTGAAAAAAGTTGATAGTCTCAAAGGAACATTAATCCTAATGAGCAAAATATTTCATTAAACTGACAAAAAATTTATATTAATCTCTCTGGTAGGATGTAAAAAGCTGCAGCTCATACAAACTAAAAATTGTGATTCAAATTTTGAAAAATACTAATGAATTATATAAATATCCACAAAAAAGTGTTTAATGATGAAGCAGCACAAGTGCACATTTGTGCAAAAAAAATATAATCACAAAATGTGTTTTATCAGAAAGCACAAAAGTTTAAAATCATCTGGATGGAGTTGGCCACTGAAGCACTGAGTTCGAAATGAAAGGATGTTCAGTGTTCAGTCATTATTCACCTCGCTCATTCATTTCTTTCAAAGAACAAATTTCTAATGTGAGCAAATTACAATCATGATTTCTTCTGACTTTTTTGAATCATCTGTAGGATATGATAGAATTATTAACAACCTTTCAATTTTTCGCAGTGTGAAGTTTTCCTCATGAAAGGAAAAATTAGAAACAAATTGTCGAAAATGTAAAGTGATGTATAGAAGTATATGCTGGCGTGTTCTTCAAAAAATTCATCAAAGTTTCAAATTATATACAAAGAGAAAGGTAGAAAAAACGGATAGAGAAAAGGTAAGGAAAAAGGGAGGTAGAGTAAATAGAGTGGAATAGAGAGAAAAGAAATTTTATTGCAGTGATTGGCTTCTTGATTCCATTTGGCAAACTATCAAATTGGATTAATAAAAGAGCGGTCACTCACCTACTTAATAAAAATGCTCGCAAACCTCTATTAATTAAATGTATGGAATACTAATGAATACTAGTATAAACTTTTGAGATTGGATGACAAGAAAACCAGTAGGCTAGTGTACTTCAACTTGTAGATGTGACGAAAAGGTTCTTGTAAATTTTTATTTAAATATCATCAAATTTATTCTACTGTACTCAATAAATTTTATGGAATGTCATATTGAATTACCCAATGTCATAATATATTATTTTTTTTAAAAATGTACCAATCAAAACCACAAAACCAATATGATAATTTGGGTGCATAAGAGAGACTGACAAAAGTCTATTCACTCTCAAATTCCACCTGAGTCGTTTTTTTTCAAAACTGGTTGTTATAAAAAATAATTTACAAAATAGATAAGAATTATGTAATATTAATGAGTAATATATATCCATGATAATTTCATTAAAAATAATTTTCAATGCCAAATTAGTAAGGACCGAAAGAGGAATTCATTCACTCGAATATTTTGAAGATCAGCTCAGCTCAGCAGTTTCAAATGGAAAATTCATTTGTTTAGCTATGTCGTAATTCTTGTTTTCGATTAATTAGTTTGTGAAAAATCTAGGAATAATTAATTAAATTTAATTAATGAGGAAGTATTTATTATGATTTCAGTCATTTTATCTCGTGTGGTAATGTTAGTATATATATATATATATACTATATGTATATATTTTTAATTTATTATACAATGAAAATTTATTCATATTGGCCAAACTGCAAACAATTTTTTAATTTAATTGAAAATATTATTTTATAAAATAAATGTTTTGTTCTGTTCTTTTGATCACCAGACTTCTATTCGGCACGCTCTATCCAGCATATTGCTCATACAAAGCAGTCAAAACCAAAAATGTCAAAGAATATGTTAGTTTTTTTTGTAATATTAAATTTTTTATAAAATTTCTTCAATTTCAAAGCGAACTTATTTATTTTATTAATTTTTTACTATAAGTTTTTTTATTTTATTTTATTATTTCAGTTGAAGTTTTAATTTTTTCATATTTAAATTAAAATTAACCTTATAAATTAAACAGGTCAGATGGATGATGTACTGGATTGTCTTTGCTATTTTCACTTGCGCTGAAACTTTCGCTGATATTTTCATTTCTTGGTACTTTTTAATTTTTTAAAAATTTTTATATTTATTAATTTTTAATTTGAGTAGGTTGTATTTAATGATCTGTAAATGTTCATGATAGTAAATTGTTATACACATGCATTGGCTTTGCCTTTTTAGAAATAATACATCATTTAGTTGTTATTATCTCAACTGCTGAATACCACCTCTCTTAACATACGCACACACACACACACACACATTTTTAAATGTATGTGCTAATCCTTGAAACATCATATACTTATTGTATATGCCAGTCTCTAGAATCATTTTTAATTTTTTTCATTTCCCACCATCATCACCTAAGCTAACTAGTGCATGCGAATATTTAACTGTTGAATGGATACGATATTAATTGGCGATAATTTTTTTATCATGATCCAAACCTCACACTGAATGCCAAAAACAATAAAGGATTGAGTTTGGAACTAAACTTTTTTATAAATAGCCTTTCAGGAATGATTCTTGTAAATGGTTTTACTAAATGTTGTTAAATATTCATACAGGCTTCCATTTTACTACGAGATTAAAATATTTTATGTAATATGGCTGATGCTGCCAGCAACGAGGGGTGCCACTATTCTATACAAGAAGTTCATTCATCCTCAGCTCTCAAAACGAGAAGAAGTTTGTCAGATAGTTTCATAAACTAAGTTGCCATAACTGTCATTATTGTTTAGTATTTGTTGCTCTTAGTTTTTTTACTCATCATTGTTGTGATGATTTCTGTTGATTATGTATGACACTATCATTGTTGTGATGATTTCTGTTGATTATGTATGACACTATCATTGTTGTGATGATTTCTGTTGATTATGTATGACACTATTATTGTTGTGATGATTTCTGTTGATTATGTATGACACTATCATTGTTGTGATGATTTCTGTTGATTATGTATGACACTATCATTGTTGTGATGATTTCTGTTGATTATGTATGACACTATCATTGTTGTGATGATTTCTGTTGATTATGTATGACACTATCATTGTTGTGATGATTTCTGTTGATTATGTATGACACTATTATTGTTGTGATGATTTCTGTTGATTATGTATGACACTATCATTGTTGTGATGATTTCTGTTGATTATGTATGACACTATTTTTGTTGTGATGATTTCTGTTGATTATGTATGACACTATCATTGTTGTGATGATTTCTGTTGATTATGTTTGACACTATCATTGTTGTGATGATTTCTGTTGATTATGTATGACACTGTTTATTCATTGCAGGAGATTGACAAATGCATAGCAAAGGCTTCAGATCAGGGTTATTCAACACTTTTGAATTTGGGTTCTAAAAGTTTCAATTTTGCTGCCAGTATTGTTTTGGCTACTGCTATAAAGGTACTTTCATTTAAACATTATTTATTTAAACGTTTCCACGTTATTACTACTGCAACTCTAATAAAACATATAATAGCATTTTTAAATTTTGTGGAAATAATATCTTCACAAGGGTCAGAATACCTTATCTGAACAGTTGAAGAAGAGTTACAGTTTAAATGATCTCTCAAAAGACGAAACAGATGTAGCATACCAGGCAATAGGTCCTCATCATCACAATATTAATGACAACGATGATGAGATGGATGAGGATGACAGGATGCCAGCCAGTGCAAGTGACAATGACATGCACGAAGATGCTCCCCTTCTGCTGACTGAACATGACATCAAGTCCCCTAGACGCTCCCAAAGAGAGCTTTCAGCAAAAACCCAGAAAAGAGTTAAGGCAAAAAATAGTGGCTAGTAATTTTTTTCAGTTTAGTTATGCAAAACAATGAATTTCAACTTTTTCAATGTTTTTTTAAAAATTAAATAAAATTGCATTTTCCCTTCAATTCAAATTACTCGTGAGATAATTGTAGGCAAAATGACGTCAAGGTCGTTTATAATGTACTGTGATGATAAGTGTTTAAAAATAAATAAATAACTATAATTTGCTCATGATACAAACAGATCTGGATCCTTTATTGGAGCATGAGGAAGTGGCCGGGTTCAAAGTTCAAGCAAAGAAGAGTCACAGCAAGAAGATCACCTATGATCACAATGAGGTTACTTTGAGGATTTTTATCTTAACTTTATTCTCACAGAATTTAATGACTTTTGGATCACTTAGTTATGTTATGCTATGATGATCACTTAGTTACCAAAAAATATGCGGAACATTGAATAAGTATTGAATATAATAATTTAATCTCACGTAAATTCTTGTTATTGTACGTTCTTTCAAGTGTACTATTTTGCCGATAGCTAAGTAATTGATTTGATTTTATATTGCTCTTCTTGAATTAATGCAGATCAATTAATTCAAGATTGTCCCACTTTTGAACAATAACGTCATTTAACACTAAAAACTGTTTACATACATCATCATATAAAATCAATTTAAATAATATCATAAAATACAGAGCCTCATTCATCAGTAGCTTATTATCTAAGCATATAATATGCAATATATAGATATATATAGACATCACCGCATTTTCAGATATTTCTTAATAACTGTATATATGACAGTCTGAACCCAAATTCAATATATATATATATATATATATATATATATATATATATATATATATATATATATATATATAGAGAGAGAGAGAGAGAGAGAGATAGAGATAGATATATACATATATCTGCATCACTAAGAAAACCCTGGCTTCATCTTGAATCATTTAAAAAAGATTTAAAGACATTTTTATTTTCTTTGAAGTTGCATTGAATTTGATCATGTACCTATTTTGTTTGCCACGTATATAATTAAGTTTTATTTTTTGAGAGAGCCTGTGACAACATTGAATGGGCGCTATATATATATATATATATATATATATATATATGTTGGTAATAGACCATAATTTTTACAATATTCTATAAATTCTACCGCATGTTTGGCGTTAATATGTTTGTAGTTCGTTTTTTCGATTTTTCTCACTAAAGTTTTTTGGTGAACGTTTAGTTTATTAAAATTCAAAATAAACTTATTTTTCGAATTCATGCTGCAAATAAGACCATATTTCGATTCCGAATGAATCATCATCAGTGCTCCTTGCTGTATATATAGGGAAATATTGACTTTGTCAAGATTAACTTTGACGTTGTAAAAATTAACTTTGGTGTTGTAAAATTGAACTTTGATGCGAATTAGGTGTCAGGTTTCTTTATTGGCTGGTGATCTTCTTTGGTCTCCTTTTCTTCATGGATAGCATCATATTCTTCTTTGTCACTATTTACGATGCTAGTTTTTATTACTTCTTTGTTTTCGTTGTTGGTTAAGCGCCGGGTTGGAAGTGAGGTTGTCATTTTTTGTTGTATATTTATTTTTGGTTTATTGAATTAAAGAGGGTCACTAACCTGCTGTAAACAATGGATATAAGACTTACTCTATTGAAAAGATTGTTAAAAACAAATTACTACACAGCAATAACCTTCCTAGTACCAACAATCAAGATAACGACATCATCTTGTATTACAGAAATCACATGTCAACAGCATACAAGGTAGATGAAGCTATTCTTAAGCATATCATCAATAAAAATGTCACACCAACCAACCCAAATAGTAAAGTTGAACTCCGAATTTATAACAACAATAAAAAGACGTCTCACCTAATACTGAAAAACAACTGCAGTCCTAGAGATAACTCTGAGTTAAAGCGTAATCACGTAATATATGAATTTAATTGCCCCTTTGACGGCTGTGCACGTCAACATGACTCATATATCGGGATTACTACTACCTCACTGACTAGAAGGCTTACGATGCATAAACAGAGTGGTGCTATCAAATCTCATTTGGACTCAACACACTCAATCACAATTAGCCGTGAAATCCTCGACAGCAACACCAAAGTAATATACCAGAACAGCAACTACACACATCTTAAAATTGCAGAAGCAGTCCTAATTGACATCAATAAACCAAAAATAAATAAATATACAACAAAAAATGACAACCTCACTTCCAACCCGGCGCTTAACCAACAACGAAAACAAAGAAGTAATAAAAACTAGCATCGTAAATAGTGACAAAGAAGAATATGATGCTATCCATGAAGAAAAGGAGACCAAAGAAGATGACCAGCCAATAAAGAAACCTGACACCTAATTCGCATCAAAGTTCAATTTTACAACACCAAAGTTAATTTTTACAACGTCAAAGTTAATCTTGACAAAGTCAATATTTCCCTATATATACAGCAAGGAGCACTGATGATGATTCATTCGGAATCGAAATATGGTCTTATTTGCAGCATGAATTCGAAAAATAAGTTTATTTTGAATTTTAATAAACTAAACGTTCACCAAAAAACTTTAGTGAGAAAAATCGAAAAAACGAACTACAAACATATTAACGCCAAACATTCGGTAGAATTTATAGAATATTGTAAAAATATATATATATATATATATATATATATATATATATATATATTGTTCTTAATATATAAATAAATGTAAACAGACATGTTTCATCATTTATTGATTGATCATACACGAGTTAACTTGCCTTTGTCTCAATTAAATTAATCACCAAGATCAATAATACAAATTGATGTTGCAACTGACAGATTTATCATGTAGCAACTCTGCCGAGACAGACCAAACAGTCCAGACCTGCCATCAACACAAAGGATTAATAATAAACTTAATGTTCTCTGTTTTCTCATTGTCATCAGTTTTTTTATTTTCATTAATTATTTTGCTTACCAAAACGTTATTCAAAACTTTGTATCATTTTATATAGATGAGATTGCTTGCTGGTTTTGGAATAGTTTGATGAAGTAGTTTCTCAAAAAGAGGTTTAATTGAGAAGATGGCTCAAATAACAATAACTAAAGTATTTCAATATTTTTGAATATATAAGCTCTCATTTGTTGTGTGGCTGATCTGAAACGACTATGAGTGAATGAACGTGAATTTTTTTTATTGCGCTTTTTTTGAGTGCACTTCCACGTTGATATTGATTTTTATGATAATTTATTTATTTAAAATTAGTTCGTGTGTGGCATAACTGGTTTTAAATCATTTATTTTTTTTGTTATTAAGCTTCTATTACTATCTCGTAATATATAGGAACGTTCTGGGAAAATATTCTGATTCAGTTGCATGAAAAAAATTTAGTTTCATAAGCTTAAAAGATCCTGTAAATTGACTATGCGAATTAAATACTTGTAGTGATATTAAAAAATTATAGAATGAAATTGTGAACTGTTTCATTTTGAAAAAGAAAATCGTTCTTTAGCTACTCGACTTTAAGCACGACGTTTATTGTAAATATAAGTTTTATCGAACTGTTCGAGGTTAAAATCATATATTAATACTACATACATGTGTGTGTTGCGTGAAAGTGAATTCTAAATGTTCACTTGTGACTAGAAACGCGTCTTTGAGATTCAATAACCACAGCAGGCGTTCCGATGATTGTGAAGTCTACTGGTGGAGCAAAAGGGTGCAACCGGTTGCTTTCAGAATGTTCAATGAAAATATATATAGAAAAATCGGGAATGAAACCCGCTTGCCCATGAAGCAGTTCGAAAAAAATTGATGCGAAAGATAAGGGGGAAAATTAAATATTAGGCTTTTTAACTAAATGTAGCTAATTTAATTTTTGTATTTAATACTTACTTATGATAGAGAAAGCAGATTCTTACAGCTTTTTTACAGTTACTAATATTCATAATTAATAAAACATGATAAAAACGTTTTACTGTCTGTCTACGAGTAACGTCTTTTGCGCGCAAACGGGCGGAGCAGCGCCGGGCCGAGTCACACAGCTCCGGGCTGGGTCACAGAATGCCATAACCAAGACAAGGAATGTTCTATTAATAGTTTGTGCGCGCATTTTTTCAATAGTTTAGTTTGGAAAAAATTGGATCAAATTATGTTGCGTTTCGCATGAGAACCTCGAACAAAATTGTTGCCTAAACGAAAAAATTTAAAACCATGGATATATATAATGTCAATGTGTTAAACTTCTCAAAACCTCAATGTCACACCACAACTAATTGCTTCTAGGCCAACGGGTGATGACGACGAAAGTGTGAATAAATACCTACCTTTCCCAAACCACAAACCCGAATATAGCGAGAACAACGGTGATTTAAGAGCTAAGGTCGACTAGATAAATTTTTGCGTTTAAATTTTTAGGACTGACATTGCGATCGATTTACATTCTAAGTGAAAGAGGATTCAACAAATAATTTAAATGCAACCATACATTCTACATATAAACGTCTACTTCAGAGAAAAATCCACGAAACAATAAGTTGACGAAACGAAATCCTGTTCATAAGAGATTGTTTGTATTCCTTTAATTAAATGAAAATTGAATGGTTCAACAGAAAATTAGTCTATGTGAGATGAGGCAAATAATAATCAAAATAATAATTATTAATTTCTTTAATTAAATGAAAATTGAATGGCTCAACAGAAAATTAGTCCATGTGAGATGAGGCAAATAATAATCGAAATAATAATTATTGATACATCTATGTGATTGTTATTATACAGAAACAAGACAACTTGCCCGCATTTATTAACAAATATTTGAACTTTTAATAGCTGCCAAAAAAATTTCAAAACTATTTTATTAATAAATCATGCTTCAATTTTAACAAGACGACCTGAATATTTGAAAAAGAAGACGAACGAAACAATTTGCCATCAATCAGCAGACATGTATCATAAAATTAGTTAAATATCATTAATATCTAAGCACATGGTACAAAATATAAATATATAAATGATGAATAAATAATTTAAATCTCCCCTAAATATTATAAAGGAAGTAAATGAACGACGTTGTGCAAATGCATGCACTGAAATTTTTTTGTCCATCACTCAGCCCACCTTGACGTCAGTGATCTCAGTCACAAGCTTAGAACCATTCCAGTATGTCCTGAACTGCTCAGGAATTGGAAATTCTCTCTGTAAAGTTTCATGATTGACAATGTTAAGATGACTTTGTCGGTCTCAACATCATATTATACTTTATACATGGAACACGTTTGCAAATGCAATGTATATAACTAATAATTATGAAAAACAATTAGTGACAAAAGACCCTAACAAAAAAATTATTTCACTGGTGACCCAGACCAAAAACGGCAGAAACATTAAAATGGTCTTGAAACTGAAGAAATATAGTTAACAAGTTATTATAACACAGCGTGGAAACTTTTTAACAAAATTTGATCCAATAACCAGAAAATAAAAAAAAACCCAGTCGTGATAAGCTTAAAAGTAATAACAAAATACTAATAAATAAATAAATGAATGAATAATTAAATGTAAAAGCGACAGATGCAGAAGTCGACAACTAACGAATTCATTCTGAGGATCAGGCACAAGAACATTCATCTCTGAAGACTTTGCAGAAACAATTTGTGAATCCAATGAATCCTTGCTCAAGAAAATCATGCAGCCATCCGTCTTGTCAACATTTATTGTTGGCACTTTACACAACACCTTCGATGAAAACGACAGACCAATCAGCTAATATTTTTATAAAAATAAAAAAAATTTACAATCCAAGTGGTGTTACGAAATTAATAATCACCACTATTATTACAATAGCCATGACACTATAAGTGAAAAAAAATGAAATAAATAAATTATACACATCAGTTTCTTCTCTACCTGAGCCTTGACACTCTGACAGTTGACAAAGTCCAATGAAGAGATGGATTCGTCAAAAACTAGTCCACATTTCTTGCAGTTATCTGTAATTTAATATACATTGCGCTGGTTAACTTGACTGTATGATTTACTATAAACAAAATTTTTATTCAAAATAAATAATTTTTTAAGAACATAAACGTCTGACTGTAAATGAATGAAATAAAGCGTGAGACAGCAAAATTGAGAATGGAAACAAAATATAATTGTTCAGTTTATTAAAATATTTCCTGTGAAAATGAAACATTATGAGTAAGTTGTCAGGACGAACCCATGGTGATGGCATTGACCTTGCCTTTGATGGTGATCGTTGAGTTCTCACATTTGAATATGTAGACCGTCTGCTTCATTTCAGTCTCAGCTATTATGATGTTGTTGTTGTTCACATAGTGCTCCTGAAACATTTTAAATTAATTAATATCAATCACACACCATCACGTTCAAAGAGCAAACACAGAGCATCATATGAACTAACCACAATCCACTTCTTGCCCTCAAGTTCCAACTTTGGAGGTTTCTTGGCAGATGCAGCAGGTGCATGATGGCTAGGTTTCTGATTGGCTCCTGGTTTTGCAGCTGGTGTTGGCTTTGCACTTGCTTTAAATGGCTGTGGAGCACCCAAACGAAGGGCAGGATTCTTGTGGGTCTTCATGTCATCGGACACTTTTTTCAGGGCTAGATGTTTTGTATTAGAAATAATCATCACTACATTTGCATGGCTATCAGAATTGTATTACTGCAATTATTGAAGAATACCATAAAACCAACATTTTGTAATGTCCTCTCCTTTGTTCAGCTCAGAAAACAATTGAGCCCTGTTGTCATCATCTCCATCATTTGATGATGTGGATGAAGGAGCGATAGGTGCAGGAGGAGGTGGGGGACCAGGAGGGGGTGGAGGACCGCCAGCAGGTGATGGTTGAGATGAGGCACCCTTGTAGGAAGATACATCCACACCCTATTCATTATACAAATTATAAACAGAATGTTAACTTTGTGTTTGCAACCAAAAACAAATTAAATTTCAAGCCTAAAATGATTGATAATAATGTAAAAAAAAGCCATAAACAAACATTAAATAATAAAAAAGCAAAACTATTATAACAGCTTTCACTACTAACTGTCATCGTCATCACAATATCTGAATATCATAAATGATTGATGTTGAGAAAGCATTCCAACAAACCTGCTTGTTCCAAGTGAGACCAGTTGTGTGATGCTTTCTGACATATACTTGCAAATCACAGAGCAGTCCCATCCAGGCCTTCACCCATTCAACATGATTATCATCTCTGGCACATTAAAGCATTTCAACAGATTTCAAAATCATATCTTATTCTCGTATTTTTTTCAAATAATTATTAAACGGCCAACAAATAAAGCAAAGAAGTAAATCATTCTGTATGAATCAATAAATGCTTATTCCTCAATATTTTTTACCACAAAAAACAAAAAATTTTGTTGTTGAAGCCATATAGTTAGTTACTCCTGTTGAAATACTGTTAATGCCATCACCATACTCCGCATCTGCACCTATCTCCAATCTCGCCATGCTCAGATTTTAATTTATTGCTGGTTTATTATCACAGAGTTTCATTGCATCAGTGCTCACAAAAAACTTAAAAAGTCATCAACTTACAGTAGTTGAATGCAAAACTCTAATCATCATATACTGTAACATCATGTAGTTTGGTCCGTGTAAAAATGTATACTCCCACATGCTTGTCATCAAATAGCATTTCCCAGACGATAACAATTTCTTGAAAGTTAATGAATACATTACAACAGACTAACTTATTCCTGTAATCCTTGAGAAGCCTGTTTGAATAGAAGAGGCCAGAGTCAATCATCTCCTTAACGTATGGTGCTGGTGCCGGAGACTGCACGCATGCACGGGTGGGTGGCATTGTTTAAAGAATTGTTAACATTTCATGTTGTTACATATCATTGCTAACATTCACATGCACATCTCAACCAAGATGATAAAAGCATTACATTTATTTAAATAATTAATAATATAATTGTGTAGTTACAAATAAATATATCAGCAGTGTTTCTCATAAGTTAATGAACAATAATTCTAGAAAATAATAATTGGATGAATCATTCGAAAATATGAAATAAGCTGTTTAGTGAACTAACCACAGAAACCCAACCCAGGGCAGGAATAGAATCAGCAACGGTAGATAGGTGGTTGAAGAACTGACTGGTCCTATGCTTCTCTTTCAAATCCTTCAAATTTAATATAAAGTAAGCAACATAACATAAATTAGTTAGTTATTGTTCCATTAAAATTAAAGGTTATACAAAAAAAACTTATCATATTAAGAACTATTTTAAAAAAAAACCTGAATGGCAGAAATGTTATCTGACAACTTTTTCAATAAACCAGGAAGTTCAGCTTGTGCTGGTTCTTTGCAATGAGATGCAAGCACCAAAAAGTCATGTTGTGCTGACAATGCATCTTTCACCAAATTGGCCTTCAATATAATGTTAAAAATAAAGAAACTGACAGTAGTTGAAACATTCCTAATTTTAGACTCATGCTTCAAGTCATGATCTTATAAAACTTTAAAATTTCAGTAGTAATTATTCCAGTACCTGGGTGCTAACATCCCCATCTAACTTCTTGCTCAACTCAAGAAACTTTTCTAGGTAACTGTTGACCACTGCATCATATGCTTGAACGAATGGAGCTAACTGTGCTGTAACATATTGAATCAATAATATTATTTTTAAACAAATTTGTAAATAAAATTCAAGTACATTTAGAATTTAGATTGTAAAACCACACAATAAAAATGATTAACAAACAGCAGCTCATTCTGTCTAACTGAAAATTAAGTAGTTAACTTTACTTATGTATCTCCATGTAATATTATTTACGTCATTTATGGTAAAATTAATGTTTGAACTTTAAAAATTTTTTATCCAAACCTGAATCTCCTGCCTTCATTGCTGTACCTCCCCCTGATGCTATGTTTTCCAATCTAGAGGTAACAGCTTCCAAGCGCGTCACTAAGGATTCCATTTACTTTCACTATTCAATAAATTTGAATAAATGTTAAAAATTAACAAATTTTCAAACGTTCAATCTTCAAATTACAAAAAATAACAGAATTACACACATAGGATAAAAAACGACAGGATAAAAAACCGAACAGACAACCCTTTCTTTGTTAAACAAAACAAAACAAATGAGTTGATTAATATTTAAAGCTAGTAACAATACAAGCTAAGTTTGTAAAATAAATGAACGGGTTGAAACCAAACGAAATAACTTTTCAGACAAATAGTAACAGCAAATCACTAACATCCTGAACAAATCCTGAATATTCTTCCGGGAAGATATGACTGTTCTTTTTCTAGTATGACTTCAAACACGTTCATACAATGATATATACATATCACACGTATAGATAGAATATAACAATGTTATATTCTATATACATATATGTGACATATATTCATATATAAATATGTTACATATACTATATATATCACATAAATTATATATTATATAATATTATAATATATGATTGTTAAATATTGTGATAGTCACCTGTATACTTATCTATATAATATAATTAACATATTCGTATGGGCCTGCAGACAGTATGTACTAATATATTATTTTAGGACCGCTCTTATATATGCTATTTTAGAGAAATATATAACTTATATATATATAACTTCGATATACAGCATATACCTAATATCGTTCATTATATATAGGATGCTCATAGATATTTAAATTTATTTAAAGCACATAGAAACAATTCGAACAAAGACCTAGTAAACATACTACAATACATTTGGTCCAGTATTTTGTAACAATTAATTAATTTAAATAAAAGTTATTTCAACCTGAGACCAGTACATAGTTTAATTTGAATGAATGGTGTACTTGGACGGTCTTCTAACGAGAGGGAAAAACTCATAAATTTGTAACTATAACTCATTGGAAGTATAAAAACTTTGCAAACGTGTCACAATTCTTACTTCTTATCGTATTCTTACCAAGCATTTGACGACGGATCTTATTCTTACCAAGCATTTGATGACGGTTCCCAAACTGCATCTGCTCCCAACGTTTGTCAAAAAGTATTTAAACTACGGACAAACGATAATGACTGTCAAAATAAACTAATACTACAATAAACGAGTAAAAATGTGATAAATGAATAAAAAAAATGTCGAATTGTTTGATATGAAATAAAAATGAAAGACTTGTTTAAAAAAAATAAACAATACAATTTATAAACGAATTCAATAGCTTAGCTAAAAACAATATCAAGAAAGTAAATAAATTAATTCGATTTAATTCGTTAATTAAACAAATTAAACGCCGAAGACAATGGTATTTCATCATTTTAATCGTCGAGCTGACATAAAAGAGCCACACCTCTTCTGATCCAATGATCAACTGGTTCTTTAGTCTCTAGCAGAATTGTTAGAACAAAATTTGTGGAGTGACCTGTCGTACTGAGCACTCCTTTCCGTTCGCTCGTCTTGTATACAGGACATACGTATCTATTTTCCTGTTTAATGTTCAAAGATCATGTCTTAAATTTAATTTAAAATAAACACTACATAAAGGTATTAGAAACGATAATAAGAATACATATTCACTACAAAATTTAACAAAATTTAATCAAAGATACTTATAAATTTTGAAAAAAAACTCTATATTCATCAATAACAAGCGTACACTGTAATCGATGTGAGATTTGAGCTTTGGAATAAGCCAAATGACTGGCAATTTATCATACAACACATCTGGAAACTGCTCAGCAAGGTGACCTCTGACAAGTAAAAAAAGAAAAAAAAACAATTTAGTAATGCAAAACAAAAATCATACAAAGTCACTGAAAGAAGAAATATATGATAAAATTGAATGATCATAACAAACCCATCATCCCATCTGGCACCATCAACGTAAAGTCCTCTTACATAAGCTCCATCTGGTGGTCTCTTCAACGACGCTCTTCTAACTGTAACCTGCATCGAGGTAAATATTACAAAAAATAATAACTAAAAAAAAACTACGTACATTCCCAGTATAACCATAATAATAAGAATAATGAACTTAAATAAAAATTGATGAAGCGTCAAGTTGAAAATACTTTGAAATCGAACGACAATAGATCAATGGCAACAGAAAACTTTCTTGCAAAGTTCTGCATAACGCCAGTAAGGAAGGCTTGCGTAAAGTAGAATCCAGATATCCAGAATATCTCGGGAGGTCCGTGATTATACCAGGTCTGTGTAATGGTATGAGAGGTTTCATGTGCTTATTTTTAATTCTTTTCTCATCAAATTTGTCATGAAACTATTGACAGAATTTGTATATTGAAATCTGAAGAGTCACTTGAAAGAAATTGATTCTTTCAATGAGATCGTTGATATAACTGGCCAGTGGTTTTAATGAAGGATAGGATCTTTGTGCCCAGAGGAGAGGAATCTTGCCTGTCAGCAAACTTGCGCCCAGCTCCTCAAGGTCTGATGACATAACCTCCAAGCCTTTTATAGCTTTCTGAAGCTGCAACAACGTTGTCTTGATTATAACTATCAACCTGCCATCGAAAACAATTTGAACTACTTGAATATTAATGTTAGGTTTAGGTTTTAGAGCAAAAACTTGAAATAAGGCGACACACTTTGTAATGTAAATGTGTTCTTTTAATATAAATAAATTTTGTGATAAAAACTCTTCAATAGAAAAACCAGAGCAACTCTTCAATAGAATTTTAACCGTACGTTTAATTTAAATTTATTCATGTCATTTCACGTGACCTGTTGAATCTCTCCATCTCCTGAACAAGAACAGTGTTCATAGACTCCACATACATAACAGGATACTTTTTTAAAGATTTTTCCAGGTCAAAAACGTTAGGAAGCTGTAAAAAAAAACAGTTATACACAACTTATCAAGAATACATTACATAATACAGAAAGATACTGGAAGACGAAAACCTTTCCACCTTGTCAAGAATATCAGCGGCAATGATGTAGAGCGAATCATCGAACTTGCAGCCGGATCCCTGCTCCTTGCTTCCAAGTGCAATAAGGACAGAATCAAAAAGTTGTCGGTTTTCAAAAAGATCTTTAGAAATGTCAACATTGTCGTGGAGGCCAAAAACTTCAGGCTGCTGTACAGATGGTAACTCCTGTCTCCGTTCACGTGGGAAACATCGTAAATAATTACGTCTAGCGAAGAAAATCTTGTCTATATAACGCTAGTTATGAAATATCCAATCCTCATTACCAAAAAAATAAATGTAGCATATGGTTTATCGTTTGTTAACAAACAAGTCATTTCAAAAACAATTTATTTTTATTCCAAAACAATATAACCTATCTTTTAGATATGCATTCACGCGAGATAGTTTTAACTTTTGATACAACAAAAACGTGAACCAACCTTAATGAATTCAATGCAATCAACGTAATCATCATCTCCCCTTATTGGCGGAGTGCAGTAGATGCCACTGGGTGAAAAATAATACTTGCTATCCTGAACAACCTTGGGATTATAAAAGTTGGCGAGGATGGTCATGAGGCATCTGCGATCCCAGCCATCGGTCACTCGTCCTCCATAGTTGCACTCTCCAGTTACGTACGTGATGGCTTCGTATGACACCTCATCTGATTCGTTTATGAACATCTGATGGCGTTTGTACGATGAATTAGCCGAGCAAGTTCTTCGAGGTATTAAACAAATTTTACGTGCAAAATTAATATTTCATAAGATAAACATAACGATAAAGATGGCTAGGCTAGTGGTTTAAAGAGGCAAGCAATTGCCAATTACAGCGTGTGATGAAAAAGAAAATTGGGGTAGCCTACTCCAAAAATGCAGGAACCTGCAACTGACTGGCAGATATTCTAAGGTCAGATTCATTGAATCCATATTGAATGTTCCATCCGAGTGCTCCAAACTTCTTTCTCTCCTGCACCACAGCGTGGAAGAAGCACAAACTGAATAACAACTTGTGAAAAACCTGTCAGGAAATAATCCAACAAATACAAGAAAGCAAAGCGAATTATTCAGTGTCGTAACACTCTCTTCTTGTGAAAATTTGTAAAGTCAATTTCAACAAAATCTCGTTACCATTTTTTGTTTTTTAGCTAACACGTTATCTATGTTTTAAAAAATTTAACACGCAGCACACTAACAAGGTTCTTCTCTGGACAGCCATTAAAAAATAGCGGGTTGGAGATGGGGTCATTGAGGTAGGATTGTAAAAGATTCTGTCTGAGGCCTGTCGGCGGCTCGTTGGTCATCTTCACTCCATTCTGAAGTACGGATACTGGAAACTAAACAGGAGTCAATAAATTATTTCCATGTCACCATCATCGAATACGTTTTTATTATTCCCATATGCATTTTTTTATCAGATACTAAGTTGAAAATAGCCCAAAAATATTTGTCATCAACCTTGATTGCAGTGCTACGATGTTTGAATGAAAATACTTCAAACATTCTCTATTTCCTTTTTAAACATCTTTTCCCGAATTTTCAATTCCTCAATTTTCATTTTCCTCACATGCTCCAATTTTGCAACCCTTCCATCCACAAACTTTGTAATTCCTCTCCCAATTTAAAAAACCTTCTCCCAAATTTTCAAAACTTCCAGCCAGTGCTGCGTTAAATTTCACGTTGTTATCTAAACGGTTATACTACCCATTTTCTAGACATTGTAAAAAAGCTGCTAAATTTGGGTGCTACAAGTAACGAAATAATGAGGACAATAATGATGACAATGATGATGACGTCGACTATAATAATGATGATGATAACGACAATGATGAGAAGATGATGAGAAACCTTATTGGAAGGGTAGCTGGTCAACCAGAGTCTGAAATGTTCATTGGTGCTGCCATAAGTCAGTTCTTCACAGATCTTCTCCAACTTTGGCATCCATGAAACAGCAAAGTGACAATTCTGTAGAAGAACCCAGGTACCATTCTCTTTTGCTTCGAAAATCATTTTCGAAGCAATGGGGCCCTGGATATTACATCAAATTTAATTTTGAGATTCTAACAAGTTTCCAAAAAAACTTTCATTATAGCGGTCGTCATCATCATATCATGTGAAACATTCGAAAAGTTTCGACGTAAACATTTTATTAGAATTAAAAAAATCAGAACATAAATAAACCAAATAAACCGCAACAAATTTAAAAAAAAAAGAATTACCAAGATAACAAAAATGTCAAAACTCAATAATTGAAACCAAAGAAACAGCAAACATGAATGAATGAACGAATGAATGAATGCACGAATGCAACCAATCACGTTACAAATCAATCAGACCAACCTGTCCCTGTCCCAATGAAATGGACATCAGTTTGTCTCCGGTGAAACCCTTATCAGATGCAAACTGCAGGAGAGCCATCGTTGGATCAGCTCCTGGTGACAAGATGAAGATCAGAGGAACGACGCAACTCGAATCAGCAAATGATTTAGACAAATCAAATGGCGGGGGCTCAACAAAACTTTTCCCCATCTTTTCAGAAACGTAGTTCATCACAGATATGCGGATCTGTAATTTGTAGCTAAATTATTAAATTAATCGATTCCATATGAACAAAAATTGACATATGACATGAAGCGTTTACAACTTTTAAATTCATTGGTTTCTCACAGACAAAATTAATTTGACAGAAAGTGTTTACAATATGCTGTATTATATTGGTTTCAACTTCGTCATTAGCATCCACAAGCCTACAGCAGATTATTCACCTTATCTGGTCGCAGGCATCTCAGGACCATCATCTTTTGAAATTCAGTCAGTGGGGTTGAACTAAACTCAGGCATGCTTACCTGCTGAGGAAACTTCTCATTACAAAAGTTTTTCCATTCTTTCAAATTCTCTTTAAAATGGTTACTGGGGAAAATATTAAAAAGATAAAAATATCCAGAGACAAATTTTTATACTGTTGAACCAGTAAAGGTATGTATAAGCAAAGCATACATTTTTATCTAATGAACAAACAAAACGTAACAATATGAATGAAATAAAATGTAATGAAGCACAGCCGCATCTAAGCTATACGTCTTTTTAAATATCAGCACACGTTTTCAATAACGACACAACGTTGAACGTAAAATCTAACGTGATATTGTTAAAGACGGGCATGAGATCAGACAGTCTGCAGAGTTCATCCCAACTTTTATCAGACAACCAGGACTCTGCTGCTGGCTTCTCCAGCTTGTTTTCAAAACCCACTCCTCCAGTCAGAAAGAAAGTGAACTCCTGCAACGTCAACTCATTTTTTGACCTAAGAAGCATAAGAAATTGCTTTCTATTTGATGGAATAAACGTAAAAAATATATCGAAAAATAATATTTGGAGAATAATTCTGATAAGGATTATGACGCTAAACATCATTATCACAGCGCGAGCGACAAATAAACGAGTACATTATTGATTTTAGAAGCCCATACGAACAATAAATAATTTGTTTCAGGGTTTTCTAAAATAAAATTAAGTGAGCAAACATTTCGATCTGGACTGTGAGATAGAGAGAGAATACAAGTTTATGTTGTTCAAAGAGGGACCGACAGACGTTGGCAAACAGGTTGTAGGTGAAGTGATTAGACAGATTCCTCAATCTTCTATCAAGAATTTTTGACTTCACACTGAAACAAAATTTAATTACGATAAAAATAAAGTTTGAAATGTCTTTGTATAAAATATGTTGATCTTCCACATTTTAATAAAAAATCATTTTACTATAGATCAGTTTAACAAATAATAAATAAAATCTCATATCATGAAGCGTAAAAAATGCAACTAATCAATGAAGTAATTTTTAGAAGAGAATCAAATTAACCTGTCTTGAATAGAGGTAAGGTACAAATTGATGAACCAAGCCAAGGAGTACTGATACATTGGGTCAATCTTTGAGATGTCACAGACGGCAAAGAAGAGTGTTGATGAGTAGCGGGCAATGGGCTTGTAACCTTTACGGGCTTCGTTGATTTTTGATTCAGTCACCTCAGCCACCTAATGCCACGTTATCTCGTTAAATATTGTCAAATGAAATTTTGTGTCACTCGACGAATTAAGACTTTCCATCAGTCACCAGCAAACAATGAATCAGAAAATAAGAAAATTAAAAGCAACGGTATAGCTGACAAACAATCAAACCATTTGTTTTTTGGCAATCTCAGTAGCCATGATCTTGGATGATTCAAGAATTTCATTAGCATCCTCATCTTCCAGAATGTTACCTTCACCTTCAGAGAGTGTCAGCAGTATGGTGTCTTCAATCTCTTTCAACTTCTTTTTGTTGTTAGCACTCATCAGTATAAGTGCCTGCCTCTCATCTTCCAACTCTGGTCTGTCAAAATATTTATATCTTTATTAATACACTCAACGTTATAACACGAATGTTTCAAACAACATTAAAATACAACTAGTTTTTGAAAAAATATGCTACGCAATTCAGAATACAAGTTTCAATCAACAAGAGGGTCACGATAAAATGAGGGTAGAATGTATACAAAATGTATGTGGTGGTTTTCACCTCTCCTTCGTGACAACAATGCCCAACAACTGATCCTCCAATCCATCGAGAGTTATCATGAAGTTCAAGATGTTGACCTTGATGGAGACCTCGGGAAGGTAATGAGGGTTCTGTAGCTTCGTTGTTATGTAAAATCGAAAGTTCTCATTGTAGTCTATTATCTTGTCTCCCAGCTGCATCATTTCTATGCCGGCTGAAAAATTAATAAAGATTAATTACAATTTAATTGATGGTCAGATTGATTTTAAATGAACTGAACATGAAATAGTTTGTTAAAAGACAGCCATTCATTCTGCATTCAGTCAACGAGTCAGTCAGTCAGTCATTGAATATATTAGAAAGTCGTTTAGAAATGTATAACAACGCCAACAGCTAATAAACTGATGAAATGTCATCACCTTGTGCGAAGGTTAACTTGAGCAAAACAGGCTCCAAAGAAGGATCCAACTCTTCTCCAATGTTCTCCAACAGCAGAGGCTTACCGAATGAGATACAAAGTTCAAGAACTCTCGAAAAGTCAGAGCTCAATGGTTTGAGGAGAGCGAGTTGGTTGTCTTTTTCCATATTTTTAATCCATTTATTTGCTTGACTCTGTGGATCAATCATGAGAGGCCTGTGTATTAGTAGGAAGAAAATGCAAACAATTATTAAATGCAAAACATCTATTAAAATCTAATACTTGTTTATTTGTAAAGAATTTTGCTATGGTATATGATCATAAAATATGCGATGAATTTTGAGAAAAACTTGAACAAGCATTGATTTATAAAAAATATATTATATCCAACCATCTATTTGAATTGAAAACCATGATGGCGTTATCAATTGAGAAGTTGTCCTTAGGTAGTCCGGCAATGTTCCAGCTCTGGATATCAACAGGCCTGCCCAACGAGCGGGACAGCAAGTACTCACCAGGCATGGTGGGAAGCTGCAAACTCTGTCACACAACAAACATTCTTCCGTTATTATTATACCAACTGAATGACTTGCTTCCATTATATACAACGTTGGAAATGTAATGAGACGCAGACCTTAACCATTATGAGCCAATCTTGAATGCACTGCTGTCTGAAGAGGATGGTGAAGGGACCTAGGTAGGTGATGACGCCAGCGGACATGATCATATCTCCTAGCAGATTTTCAATTGCAGCCTGCAACAGATTAGCTGCATCCATCCATCTCTCCTTCTCTCCTCCAAGTCCGCTGATCAGTTTTTCAGCCCTCGCTAGCTTCACTACACACAAATCATACTGTGAAATATTTTGATAAAAGTCAATCAAGTGTATTTTTATCAAGATATAAATTATAAAACTATATTGATTTAAACGAAACAATTTATTCATTTCCAAGATTTCAAAAGCATCAAAGTATATTAATGTTTATTAAGAATGATTTTATAAAATAATGGACAAAACAACAAAAAGTAATAAATACTTAAAAACAATCGCCCCGAAGAGTTAATTTACTGACTATTCAACTAACCTGAGCTTGTAACTGTTCCTTCCTTTCAATTGAAACCTGAAGATTCTTTTTCAATTTGGCCAATTTCATATTTAACTGGTTCAACTCAGCCGTCTTTTCAGCGAGTTGCTTTTGAGTTTTTTGAAGTGCATCTTGAGCCAATGCCAACTTGGCTTTTTTGGGAGCCACAATTTTGGCGACACGATCGTACATTGCCATTGCCAATATCCATTTGCACAGACCTTCTGCTGCTGACGACGCCTTAGCTACTTTAGCCGGATCAAATTCTGGGTTTGGAAAAAACTCTGCCTGAAGCTTTGCTATCACTGTAGGCTGTCGACAAATATTATTTAATGCTTACGGTCACATACATGGCAAAACATTTGGAGATTAGAAAATGATTAGTGGAACTACATTTTATGTGTGAGTTTGTCCATGAGTACAAAGTTGCATGTTCAAACTGATTTACTATATAGAATAAAAATGGACATAAAACGGTTTTGCTTTAACAATCACAACGACGATATAAAACTCTGGCACAAGCAAATATTGCTGAGTGTATTTTGTACTAACAGGAATATTGTCCTTGTCATATTCTTTGAGATCCTTCAGGAAATTCAAATCACCCAGCAGTTTCTTGGAAGGTCCCCAATAATCTAGGATCTGTAAGTAAATTGTATTTTATATATTAGTGATATGTAAGTCACCTTCAACCTAATCAAATGGTAATCCTGACAAATAAATATAAAAAAAAATGTGTAAAGTAGTTATCATAACAAAGTTATTTTTTAACGAATGGACAACATAACATGACATGTATCATGTTAAGTATCAAAAAGAGAAGGATAATAGGATAATCTTACCTTCTTACCGCCACCAGAAGTATCGGCCACTCTATCAGGCTGAACATTCTTCATGACGCAAACAGCCGCCATGACGAGCTTGACACCAGCTGGTGGGTTCTTCATGGACTTGACGATGGCGATGTCACCTGGCTTCAAAGTATCGAGAGCCGCTTGGGCTGATTCAAGAGCTGGGATGGCTTCTGCAAGGTCTGCTTCACATTCATTCTTCAATGCTGTCGATTCTTCTGCCTAAAGTTTGAAGTTTTTTATAACTTTATTAATACATCCAGAGTTTTTACTGTTTCTGCCATTTCTATCGATTTTGACTATATAATTAATTTAAATTAATAAATAAATTAATTAATAATTAAATTAATTTAAATTAATATAGTTCTATTGAATATTCAGTTTTGGTTCCATCTTAAAAAATTCCTCAACTCATTAATTAGTAGACATCTCAAAAAATTTGATTTGCTTATATATATATATATATATATATATATATATATATATATATATACTCAATGACACCCTTATATAAATATATATATATACTCACTGACACCTTTATATATATATATATATATATGTATGTATGTATATATATATATATATATATATATATATATATATATCCATTCATACAACAAACTGACCTGATCATTAGCAATGGCTTCTTCATACTTCACTTTCTCTCCCTTCCCCTCCACCTCTCTCGACTCCCTCTCAATCATTATGACCATTTGATTATTCTCTTCTGCAGACTTTTGGAGTTCGGGTTTCAACTTTTCCAGCTCTTCCTGCATCACTGATACCTTTCCGAAACATTTTTTTACATACGGTCTATCTATCAGTAACAGTTCCATCACTCTTCAAATTATTAATCATGTAGTGACTAAAAAATAATAATAGTAACAAAAAACTCAATGAACAAAACGCGAGAAATGCACTGTACAGAATGAAATGACACATACTGCTGAATGTTAATTTTATTAAAAAACAATGATTGTTAGCCGAGTTTGTTTATCCACTGAAAAATTCGTTAAAAGATAACTGTAAAATAAGCAAGCATTAGCTTGCAAAATTAATTGTAAAAAAAACTTTGCCAAAATTCATTAAAATAAAGCAGCATAAGCGGAATAATGTATCATAACTTATCCTATTCCAACCGTTGACACGTGCAAACACAATTTATAAACTAAATCATTTCATGCAAAACAATGTAAGTCGTTGGGAGAACAACACGTTGCCGATATTTGAACTTATATAATAGAGCCTTTGAAATATTGATTTAATTGGCGCTTTATAAATGTTATAATAATAATAATAAGAAGAAGAAGAAGAAGAATAAGAAGAAGAAGAAGAAAAAGAAGAAGAAGAAGAATATAAATAATAATAATAATACCTGAGAGGCAGCAAATGCCAATTTTTCCAGACCAACAAGATACCTCTTCCTGAAACCCATCAATTCATTTTCCTTCATAGATGTCAACTTCTTGACTAGTTGCAGCAGCTGCAGATAAGAGGTCGGTGTCACGTACGTACGACGGCCTTCTGAAGCTAAAAATCTTTCCAAGAAACAATATCCTACTGTTAATTATTGTTACGGACTGCCTTTACAAAAAAATCCTAAAAGCTAGATTCAACATAAGTTATCTGAACAACAACAGCTTCAAAACAAAATATTTTGATCGGTGAAATAAAAAAAATAATAAACTGAAACAAACTTGATAGTCATTTCTTCGGCATAAGTATGGAAGTACTTGCAAATGTGTACCGTAGATTTTCTGTTTTCGTTGGTCATGTTGATGTTCTCAAGAAATTTGTAGGCCACCCTTTCCAAGGCGTCTTCGGGCCATGACTGCAACAACAACATTAGATTTATGACCATATACGCTATCATATGTCTGTCAACAACTGTACATTCACTGAAATATTTTTTATTAATATAAACAGGACAACACTTTCAATAACAGTATGCAGAGCTGACGAAGTCGATTGAGATCAGCAGAACTTGTAGGCATTGCGTGTTTTCTGTTTAAAATATTTCATTTTGCGTTGAAAATTTATACAGTTGCTCCCGCAAGGATTTGAAACTCAGGGTCGGTTGATTTCAAAGTTAATACAAATATCAGCCATGAAGTTTTCAAAATCCATTTCAGACATTACGTTTTCAACAAACCGATGCAAAGTTAGCGTCTATGAAAATAACTCAATAGACGTTCCTTTACATAAGTCCAATACATCACGATACAATAAGTGGGAGCGGAACAGAAATAATGATGAAATATTGAACGTAATAAGATTCAATTAACTCTCAATCAATTTCATATAAATAAGACAATTATGACAAGAATAAAAACAATTGAACGATAATGATTAACAGACGTGAAACCAATCGATAGTGCAGCAGTTTATAAGCGATGGGAACTGCCTCAGTCTGTTCCTGAAGGCATTGCCAATGGGACTGACTGTCAGTATAATGGACATGTTCTCGCGACATCTGTTCACGTAAAATGAATATAATGCCAACGGCTCCATCTCTCCAGTATCCTTCGCCTTCTGAGCGAGTGGTCGAACAGCCTGGTAAGTTAAACTATTCATGTGCAACGTGTTCATAAAGTTGTAAATGTGTGATAGTACGTGAAAATGTGTATCATTTCGTAATGAATATAAGACAGAAAGCAAAATACAATAATAAAAAGCGATCCCACCTCCATGACCTCAGCCTTCTCATCAGGTGTGAAGAGGTTAGGAACTTCTCCAGAATTTAATAAGCTGTCGATGTCTTCAACGAACGATTCCTCCTTCAGTTGAGAGTCAGTAATCAAGAAAACTATTTTCTTGCCAAGAGTTCCTTTTATGTTCATTCATTTTTTCTTTCATTATTCTTCCACACAAAAAGAACCTAACTAGTTTCTAATTCATAAGATTTGCACCACTGTTCTAATAGTGTAAAAGATAATTTTCACTCTCAAAGCGTTTAACATATAAATTAATATATAACGAAAAAAAGTTTATAGATTAATTTTAAGATAAAAAATAAAAGAGACAAAAACTAGCAACCTGCATTCTTCATAACAAGTTTGACATCTTCCCTCCATTCATTCTTTCCATATTTGCTGGTCATTTTCGGCCTGAAAAGCAACATGCTGGAGAGGTGGGCGGCAAGACAAGTCAGTGACTGCTTACCTGAACCTCCAAGTCCCACCAACAACGCATTGCCACGTGGCATCCTCAACACACGGCAGACGCGAGACAGATGCTCCAGCGCGTATCTATTATTAATTCGTTTACGATGCAAATAGATTATAAGTTTATGACAGTAACTTATAACGCACACATATATATATATATAAGTTGCACACATATATGTGTGTTTGTTACACAAACCTTTGTTACACGTATATGCGTAACAAATATTTCATTAATTAGTGTGAGTAAAAATTCAAATGAAGGATGCAGAAAAGTGGTTGACCTGAATATAACGAAATTCATTCGATTCTTATTGATTTGATTGTACTCCTTGATCGCCTCCTCAGCCACAGCGTACATCACGTTGATGTCCATCACCTCCTCGTAACATTTCTCTTCCAGCAGAGCATCTGGATCCATGTAGTCGCCGAATATCAAAGAAGATAGATCCTCCCTCTGCAACTAGATAACATCAGTTTCGTCAATCGTATCAAACTGGGTAACCAGGTAAACAGTTTAAAGACTATCTATTAAAAAATTAAAATTAATCACGAATAAGTGAAAAAAAGAAAATTTTAAATGACTCGTTATTGAAGCATTATGGAAGTTATACATTGGAACAATTAAAGTTATATAAAGTAACATACTTCATTCTTCTGATCACTCTTCAAATGACTGAACAGAGAATCAATGCCTTCATTGAACACAACCCTCAATATCTCTTTTATTTCACTTGCCATGCGAAGTTTCAAAGTTATATAAGATGAAACAAACGTTTTATAAAGGGCATTTATTTTAAACATTGTGATAAAATTATCCTTTTTTACTTACGCTAAATTTGACATAGCCATACATATCCTTATAAAATTGTATTTCTCTTTAACAATTGCCAACAGCCACTACTTACTCAGCTCAGTGCTCACATAGAAATTGAACAAAATAACAGCAAAAACATTAAGTGCGTGTTAATATTTTTTCAATGAATATTTAAATAAAAATAAAAATTATTTAAATAAAAAAATTGATTGAGAATCAAAGAGCACACAGTTACCTGAGCAACCACGATGAGTCGTCATCCGATATGAGCCTGTCAGAAAATACGCGGAGAACTTCGTGCACCCACAACCTTTTGTTGGTCATATCAGCACAATAACCCAGAAGCAAACTATTAAACAAATGATAGTTTCAGAAATAAATAAAATTTAACCGGCCCACCTGACAAACACTCTCGTGTCTTCCACTTTCTCCTTCTTAATCATGCACATGCCATTGATGACCCTGCTGAAATCTCTCAAGTTGAAAACATAATGAGACTTGGCAGGAGTCGGTAACAGGTTTATCACAGCTGTTTTGTACACTTGCATGGTAGCAGCAACTAGCTGGTTGCCCAAACTGTAGAACTCAACTGAATAATTGTTTCCCTGAAATTTTCAAAAATTTCATCATACTGAACGTTATGGCATTTATTAAGATAACAACAAGCGACATACCCTGAAATACAAACTCATGAGTGTGGAGAATATTCTCGTCATGGTTTCTTCTTGGAAGGGATTGATGGAGATGTTGATGAAGTGACGAGTGAATCGAACGTTGAGAGGATTGCGACCTCCACCGGGTGGTCCCATGCAGCCGAGAAACATCAGGTCGTTCAAGAAGACTTTCGTTGTATCTTTCAAATCGTACCTGATCAAGTTTTGCAATTGCCCTCACACACATAAAATCTATTTACAACATATTTCCATTAACAAAATAAACGAAATCATCATTTTTGGTAAACTAAATCCCGTAACAACGTTGGATGAAGTAAAGTGTGCCAAGGTTATCAGGGCAGGATCACAATCTAATTTTTCAAACTCGTATACATCACAAGACCCTTTTAATACTTTGTATTAGTACACGTACTTGCATATTATTTAACCCTTATAAAAAACACATCTTCAGACGTTAAAATGTTGATATTTAATAATTCAGGTGTGGGAAAAGAAGCATAAGAAACTAGCCAATGTTTGATATCGTGATATTGCCTGAGTAGTTCAATCGGAGGTTGTGCTCCATACACTTCCAGCGCGGGCATGTTGAGATCATCTATGAAGATGACTGCAAGCTTGCCAGGGGGAGGTCCGTATAGTCCTCTTCGCAATCTTTGCATTTTCAACAACACCAAGTTCTAAAAAGATAAATATATATCTCGCAATATAAAAATAGTTATTCATAACCACTGTTTCAAGTTAAAATTATTTTAAAATTAGCAAAAAAATAGGAAAAAACTAAAAAGTCCAACAACGGTTTAGACCAAAATAATTACAGATAGACATGAAACAAAAAGATAGAAACCTGTAATTGGTTGGCGCTCGTTTGAGCGGAGAAGTTGATGATGATCGGAAGATAGAGTTGAGAAGAGAGATCACTCGTTAACTTCTGACTGACGTACACAGATTTGCCTGTACCAGTCGGTCCTACGAATATTATGGGCCTGTAAGAAGATTTGTTAACGCTCGTTCAAAATAATTGACTGCAGATCCATCACAATTATATTTATAGTTTTAATGAAAAAATATTTGAGAATATAAATCCAGACATAAAATAGCTTAAAAATCAATTAAATATCAACAAATGAAATATTAAAATTTGTCTTAAGCAGATATGAACAACATCTAAAACAAAATATATCTAACATTCTATTTGTAATACAAATGTCAAGGAGATATGAACATCTGACTGTATCCATCGTAGGCACCAGTAGCTCCTCAAGCTTCTTGCCGGGGGCAACTGGATTGCTCTCAAACAAATCCGTCCAATTCCTCCATATACCTCGACTTTTTTGCTAGTGATTTCAAACAATTCGAATCCTATAAACATAGCACAGGCTGACGCAAGCATTCAAAATGTTACAGGAAGAAAAAGGAAGTGGGAGTACGTTGCGCGTACCTCAAACACGTAATTGTAGCAGATCTGATCCTCAGGAAACATGTTTGTTATTTTATCCAAGCCAGGAAGTAGTGGGTATAAGGAATTGTTGCCACTCAGCAAATCTCTGTAAAACTTGTCAAACTTTTCCCGACCGTCTGCATCCAGCAGACCTCCAATGGACCATGGTATTGCAAACATTATTGCACCCTTCGGTGTTTGGGTTTATTTAAATTCAGCATATCAAGCACAATCATTTTATTCCCAAGTTATGCTGAGTAAAATAAACTTGTTAGAGAATGAGAACTCACACAGAGCCATTGTTTGAAAGTTTTATTTTCAGACACGTCAACGTCATTGCATGCATTCTTCATGAGCATTGAAATAATTCGAACCAAAGAGACTACTTGGTTACTACTTCCAACAGCTATGTAACTCTGTTCAATGTTATTATAATTGGGTGTGTGTGTGGTGTGTGTGCGTTAGGTTGAAAGAACATTTACACTGGTTTTTAAAAACTTGAGAAAACCACATCAAACAATTATAAAAGCGTCAAAATCCTTATTACAATGATACAAATTTTTTTTAGGAGTTACGGCTAGGGCATACCTGATGTGGCATTGAATGACTGTTTGACTTTGATGCATCAAGCAAAAAATAAAATTTTAATACCGATGGTCTGAAGAAAAAAAGTGTACATCACTTAACCTTGCAATTCTTGCTGACGTATTCTAAAGAAGGATCAACGAGCCACTCCAACATGGCAGTTATGTATGGCGCGTAATCAGATGATAGAAGGGTATGCTGCTCAAACAACCATGACTTAACCAGAGGTCTCCAGCCAAGAATTGTTGGCTCCAAATATATCATGCCACATCGACTCACAGTTGCAGGCTGTTCAAAATAACATTATCTATTCATACATTCTGATATCAAAAGATTTAAACAACACTTTTTGTATTTGGTCTGTTTCATAATCACCAACTTTAACAACATTTTTTTCAATATAAGAGAATAAAGTATAAAATAAAAAACCCTTACTGAGGCCTGTGAAAGGTCAAGGGTCTCAAATATGACACTCATGACAGATGACATCTGAATGACTTCGCCACTGGTCAGACATAATTTTTTGTTGTCATCCAGCACTGTGTTCATGTTTTCAATCCAAACTGCATCGACAGGCCCATCAAAAACGACCCATTTGCGACCAGGGCTCGCTGAAACTTTGTAGTCACGAAACACGTTGGCAACTACACCATCCGACCACTACGTTAACGTTTTTAAATTATATCATTATAAACAATCAGTGCTTATTCACGCAATTTATTTTAAGATGATTGATGCCAAAAATTGTTCCCAAAATCAAAACAGGACCCGCTGCCACCAATCAACATCATCCTATCGCAAATAACCTCGTGAGAGATGAGATCGAAGTTTCCATAGAGTTGAGCCATTGTTATTGATTTGGGATTGATAACAGTGAAGTGCACACGTTCATACTCCTGGCTGCCTGCTTCGTGCAAGCTGCTCATCGACTCGCTTAAAACTTTGAGAACACATGACTTGCCACCAAAAGGACTGCCCACCAACATGAAACTAAGTGGCGCAGTGGAATTTAAATGCTTAGGTAAAATTTTTATTGTTTGAAAAATAATTTATCCACTATATTTTCTTTTTTTACTTAGATGTAAAAAAATGAATTTAAATTTTTGTTCGCACTTTTCAAGAGTATTGTTGAGAACTAAAGTTTTTACTTTCATTTGCTACATCTTCATATAGAGTTAGAAATTTGTTATTCTTAACATTACGTTACATGAAACTTCAATTTAATCAAACAATTTGACAAGGCATTTAGTTTCAAACAAGAACATAGCAGTCTAGATAATAAATAATATTTCATGCATCATTCATTTTTTGTTTATACATGAAAGTAGACGATTAGACACGAACCCGTGTCTCAAGATCATCATCTCATAAGTTTGAATGATCTTCTCCACAAAGGATGGAACCATCTGGAGATTATTTTTTGTGCAAACTCTTTCAAACTCAGCCATTAAGACTGAATAGTCAGGCTGAGTGAGTTGGATGCCTGGGAAGATGTCACTGATGATGCCGTTGAAGAGCACGATGTCCTGTTGCAGGAACTTGGGGCAATTCACATCAACTATCGATCTCAGCATCTTTCAATCAAATAAAAATTAACAATCAACACTAATTATTATAAATCGTAAAAGATCGTAAAGGGATAAATCATAAAAATTTCAATACCTAGTCTAAATAATTATTTAAAAAGTGATAACAATATTTACTTGCAAGAACAAAAATGAATCAATTTGTAAATGAAAATTATTAACCAATATCTTTTCATCCTCGTTTGGATATTTAAGTTTGATGTTTCCGGCAGCCAGCAAAACAGTTTTAACAGCCCTCATACCATAATCATAATGGTACTGAGACGACAGTTGCTCTGAACAGAGCCTGTACAGAGTAACGATCTTCACCGAAAGATTTCGAGCCTCCTTGAAACCGTAACTGTACAAACTTATCTCGGCTATCATTGCATAGTCTGGAACCATCATGGCCACCGGCCTAAATAAGACCTATGTTACAAATTACATAACAGGCATTTATTTCTATAATAATTTAATGGTCTTCACTGTACATCTCTGATTGCCTGTTTGTTTGAGTGAGTGTCTGTGTGTGCCCTCTTGTTTGCGTGTGTGCGAGTATCAAAGACCTAAATAATTGTGCAGAATAATATCTCCGTTTGTTACACTTTGAATTGAAAACATTTGCAAACAAATTTGTTATTTCTATCTTGTTAATAGCATATTGATCTTGTGAAATATAAGTTGTGGAGTTCATGAATTTTTAATAATTTATTGATGGTGAAAAGAGAAAGTGACAAATGATGAAAATTACTTTAAGATTGTCGGGAAGTTCTGACCGACCAGCATAGCCAGGATTCATTGTAATGCAAATGTAACACATGGAATTCAATTGCAACTCTGTGCCTTCAAAAACAAATTTTTTGGCTTCCATCTGAACTGCTCTTATGATGCAGAGGATCTATTTATATTTACATTCGTTACGTTCAAACATTCGAATTTGTGTCGAAAAATAGTAGGGTAAAGACAAATTTGGTGTGCGATTGTAACCTGCTGAGCGATGACGGACAAGACCTCTGGATCGATCCTGTTGAATTCATCAAAACATGACCAGGCACCAGCACACGCGAGTCCCTTGAAGAACTACATTCACAACATTAAATTAATTTTTTAAATAAATAATTTAAAATATAAAAAAATATGCAGAAGAACATCTTTTCATTTAAATAATTAATTAGCAAACAAAAATTGAGCGACATATAAATAGGATGATATGAAGAAAGCATTTTATATCACATTTTGTAATCTACCTTGCTCATAGAAATGTAATCAAGACCATCGGAACAATTGAAGACTAGACATTGCACTGCTACGGCCTTTGCCAGATCTTTTGTTGTTTCCGTTTTGCCTTTTTTTTTTAAAAAATTCAACATTCAATTGAATTCGCGTTGGTGTAAGTGAATGTAAGTGAACAAATAATTTTATGTCGAAAGTATTTGAAAAAATAAAACAGAAATTGTGTGTGAGTGTGTGCTTGTGTTTGTGTGTGTGTTTGTGCTTGTGTTTGTGTGTGAAGACCAACCCGTGCCAGCTGGTCCTTCGGGAGCACCATTGAGATTCATGTGGAAGGCTCCGATCAACGTCCTGTAACATCTGTCCGTCAGTGGAGTTATGACGAGACTGTACATGCAGGTTTATAACGAGTAACTACTTCAAAACAGTAAACGTTCAACAGATTTATTTAAAAATTACGTCAATACCACAATCAAAGTTAAAAATAATTGCGCATAAAATTTGGTGCCAGCAACGAACCGTGAAGTATTTCCGAGGTATTCGTTTGCGTATTTGATGGCCGCGTTGACCATGTTAACAAATACATTCTGGTCTTTGTAGTAGTACCTCAGCTGAGCAGCCCAATGAAAATCGGTGTCCTTTGTTACATTCTTTGAAATTATATCTTCTATTACGTCTCTGTGAATCAAGTTTTTACATTTCGTGATATAAATACTTGTATAATTTTAACAATTAAATAATTACGAAATGATGAAAATTTTAAAAATCGTATACAATAATAAATAAATCACATGGACTTAAGCTAGAGTAGTGAAACAACCCCTAGCGAGAATACCTGGCGTGAACGTCGATGACAACAAGTGACTCCAGAGTAATTCTCTGCTGTTTCGATAATAGGCCTCTTACGAGATCAATTATCCTTAGCAGCTGAGCATCTTGGTTCGCCAAAAAATCCTTCATACTGCCTGCGGTGTTTGTCATCGTGTAGTTGATAACATTAACTTGCCGTCATAAAAATTATCATTTTTATGTCTACAACAACATAGCAAACATGATGGTGCCATTATAACTCTGAAATATACAGACCAGCGTGAAGCAATTCACGACACAAACTAACGCACTGCTAAATAACTTGGATAATTTAAAAAGAAACAACGGGCTGGAGCAGACTGACTCGGTCGGTCATTGAGCAGGTTGATGGCGTCGTGTGATTCGGCCGTCCAATAAATTTGCGAGATGCACAGGACCACCTGCCCCGGCCAGTCCTTAACCCACTGATTTCGTGGAACTGTTTTGTATGCCTGCGTCAGTTACAAACATATACAAACGTATATGCAAACAAACATACAAACATATATACAAACAAACCGATGTACAAGCGAACGTAAAGAAACAATTGTTTCACTGTCCGACAGAAAGATTGTACAAACTATTAATAACATAAATGGCTTCTAAAATCAGTAAAAAGTGCAAATTAATTACAAGTAAAGTTTTTCCATAAATTCTTCAATTGAAACAACTGTCATATCGATAAATTAAATAGAAAACTAATAATTCAAATAAGCCGTACACTGTGTGAGTATATGATGACTTGCTCTATTGATTCCAGCATGACATCTTGAACTTGTAGAAGCCACTTTTCCACAGAACCTTTTGCTTCTGAAGTCGAAACACTCCTAACAAAATCAACTTGCTCTCCTTCACTACTGAACATGGCAAATATCTCCAAGTCCTCTTCTTCAAACAACAACCTCTCAATACCTTCGAAACATTTCTTCAGATGAGGCTGAACACGAGTGGGATCTTTCGTTTCAGAGAGGATCTCCAATATTTCATCGTTGGACAAGAAAAAAAACCTGTTGGGAAATTTTGGGCATAATTCAGTAATGAATGTTTGAAACCTTCAAAACTAGTCATCATAAACGCCGGCCCTCACCTTGGGAAGTACAGCCTCTTCTTCTCCAGGTACAAGTTGATACCTTGGTTAATTTTTTCCAGCATGGCGTTTGAATCTTGCAGCCTGCTCAACATTCCAGGCATCTCTGTGGCCACCAATACCTACAGTCAATGAAATGACAGACTACGTGACTAACCACTCATCATTAGCACAGTTACATTACTTCAAACCTATTTCGCATACATCCAACTTAACTTTCTATTTGCTTCATACAAAACATACGCATATCCTATAACAAGCTTTAGAAAAATGGTAAAAATATACTTTGATCAAACTAGCATCATTAAGATAATGAAAACGATTCCATTGATGAATTAACCCTGGTATCCTTAGCAACGTATTTCATGATATCTTTCCAGTTCTTGTCGACAGTCAGAAACTTCCTACTTTCGTCAGGCATCTGCAGCATGATGTCCTCCGATGAAAAGATCGGCTCCAGATACAACCACTGTGACTGCACCTGCAGTGTTTGTTCATTTCGGCTCACATCAAGTTAGGCAGCCAACAAACAAAAGAATAAATAAATGCCACTGACATTCATGCTTTCATCGAGAATATCTTGCACGAGGTGAATTTTTTGCTCCCATTCTATCAGCTCACTTTCAAATGGCTTCACAAACACCGAACTAGAACAAAGCATAATGTTTAGTTAACATTACGAAAACCACTTCCAATGTTAAAAAATAAATAGATAATTATGATGATACAAATAAATACAATAATTATGTTGATGATGATGATGACGACGATGATGATGACGACGATAATGATGATGATGGCGATGATGATGATGATGGCGATGATGATGGCGATGATGATAATGATACAAATAAACAGGTAGGATGATGATGAAAAAGAGGCAGACATCAGAATGACCCTTTCATAGTTATAGTCTTAACAATGTGATCATCGAGCAGCGTTTGAATTTCGTCACAGGAAGCCAGGATTGGGACATTAGTGTCCCGGTACGTCGCCATGTTGAACTGCAGGTTCTCCCACTCTTCCTTCATCTTGTGCAGAGCTTTCTCTAACATATACTCCTGATCATTGCAAAGGTTGAACACTTTTTCTCAGAAATAAGGTCAACGTTTAAATTTTAAATCTTTATTAAATGAGCATATAAACAAAAATTGTGGTTAAATTATCCAGAAAATGTGCCAAACTTATCAGCCGGCAAATAGTAATTTTAATGAGAAAGTTGATTCAATGAAGGAGAACCTTAGTTGCACTTGTGCTGATGGTTCCAAACCTGTCCATGAATTCATCGAGGTCAAGTTTCAACATCTTCCTAAGAGTTGTGCCAGAATCTGGTTCAATATCGTAGCCCACAATTTCCGACAGCAACTTCCAGTGGCGGGACTTCAGTCCTGGATTGCACAAGATGCCTATCATCGGTATGTTCTTCTGCATGAGGCACAAGAACAAATTAACAAAGCAGTGATTTCAATCTTAACTGAGTTCGTAAAAAACAATACTCAAAAACCACAATACCCACAATTTCACACAAGCGAATTTTGAAAAGAACATTCAATAATGATTTTCCAACCCTGAAATCTCTAATTTGATCGGTGACTTGTCGAATCATGGGCAGGACTGCAGGTTCGGACACCTTCACAAAATCAACTTCATCCGTTCCTCCAGTCCCCTCCTCCCCACTCATTTTCTTCTTCCTTTTCATTTGTTTCATTCTTTCCATTTTTTTGAATTCTGCTTCAGCCTGAACCTTTTCATAATTACCTTTGAAAACCTAACAAGCGTTCGTTTCGTTGCATCGTCAATTCTTAAATGACGAAATGTAAAATATTTTTTGCTTTTAAAAACAAACTGGATATGTGTCATCTAATATTCTTGCTCACATAAATTAAACCTATTTGACAATTTGAAAATATGCCTGTTCAGATGGTTAACAACTTTTTAACTTATATCTGTATAGGTCGATTGAAATGTTGATGAATTTGAAGCAATTTGATCTTCACAATAAAATTTACGATATTTGTTTTAATTTTTCAAAACCACGAAGATAGACCTTCAATAAACCCAGAAATAGATTAAGGTAAACGTTTGATTCTTCTTCAATAACTTCCGTGACCAGGTTTGAAAAGTTGCCATCCATCCATCTGAATTTCAAGATGATAATAAACTATTAATTATTGTAAATTAAAAAGAACCGTGTGTGTGTGTGTGCGTGTGTGTGGTGTGTGTGTTTGAGTGTTCGAAGCGTCGAGATATAATATCAATACATGCAACAGTAACATTACTGCAATAAATAGAATAGAGAGTGTCATACTTTTTTTCAGCTTTTGTCCACTTTCTCAATGTTTTAAAAAGTTTATAGAAGGGTTGTGCCAGATTATCCAATTCATGAATTTCGGTGAATTCAGTCAACTGACCGAAAAATGTTTGAATAAATTTTCTTAACCCGTATATTATATATATAGATAGATAAGCAAATAACTTTTGTACGGTTAACTTAACAATACCATTAGAACTGATAACTATTACCTGCCAGTTAACATAAATAAATGTGATTGATACCTTTGATACCTGTATTAATGTTGATTAATCTGCTCCTTTGATATTAACTCACCTGTATGTTGAACATTTCTTCCTCTTCATTGATTCGATCCTTTTCCTTGTAATGTTCACTGATCCGCAGCATGGCGGACTTGACAATTCTGAAGTACTCGTCGATCCTGGTCAGATCACTGTAATCATTGAACGTGTCGATACGTACCTTCAACTTCTCAAAGTCAAACAGCAGCTTCTCCTTCTTCTCCATCAGCAAGTTGAAGAAGCGCTGCCTAGCTTGCTCAATTATCTGAATCGCACGTGGAACGTAATAACATGTATTAAGTCGTGATAGGATTAGAGTTAATGTTTCTGACGTAGTGAAGCAATTTAACAAAGACAGGTAACTAAAATACCTACTTCGTCGTTGGCATCGAAGACTGGATTGATGTTAGCAGGCCAGACGGGAACCAAGCTGTTCAATGCAATGTCTTCCTCGCTGAATAAATAATGGTCCAGAAGGAATTTGATCTGCTCAAAGGCTGCCTGCGTATGAATTCATCTAATAATTTCAATCTAATTAATAAAAAATTTTAAATACTTAACAATAAAAATTAATGATCTGCAGAGAAAATCGAAGAAACAGTAAAAAATACGACAAACTTTTGTCATCTGGTTAAGCTTAAATATTTCAACAGTTCGAACGTGCTCAATAAATTTCTGCATTTCGGTTAATTCCTTCAAATCATCGGGAACTTTAAGGCCAACTTTCACGATGTTGTCGAATTTTTCGCAGATGCTAAAATGATGTGGTAGAGATTATTGTAGGAACAGGCTACTTATTCTCGCAGATGAATAGTTGAAAACTTTACTTTTGATTTAATTATATGATAATAAATGATTATGGCAGAATAAAAATGCGCGAAATTAACAAGGCACATCTCTAAACTATGTTAAACTTAGACATCACTTTATATTATTAAAAATATCAAAAGGGAAAACAAATAAAGAGAAGGAAAAACAGAGAAATAGAGCAAGAAACAGGAAGAAGAGAAAGAGGGAGAGAAAGAAATGAACCTAATATTGAGAACTCTCAGATCATCAACCATTTTAGTGAGTATCTTCTTTATGTGGTCATTGGTCGTCTGTATGATGCCCAATTTAAGATCAGTGCAGTCCAGCTCGATGAGGTCATAGTGTTCAATTGAGTTCAGTGACCTCAGTTCATTCAAAATGTTATTGTATTTCCAAAACAACTGCATCAATGGTGTGAGAGAGAAAGAGAGGGAGAGTGTGTGAAAGAGAAATAAGAGAGAAAGAGAGAGAGAGAAAAAGAGAGACCAAAAATGTTATGTTCTACTTGATCAATACACTATTGCTACATTCTGTGGACATGTGTGATAAGATTAAAATCAGATGAAATATAAATATTTATTTAATTAATGAATGAATGAAAAAAATTTTTTTTATTATAAACAAATTATACAAAATGAATTGTAACAAAGTGCAATGACCTCCATCTCAACTTAGATAACAACGCACGTTTAACTTAAAGTTTCTACCCATGCACCGATGCATCCATGCACCCATGCATTCACCACCAACACACCTCTTGATACTCCGCAAAATTGTGATCTCCATTAACGAAGTTGTCAATCTCAATCTCTGCTCCTCCCTCAACAAGGTAACTGTAATCCTCAACTGTGCAAATCATACATCACTTTCAGTTGCATCATCTCTCAATCATTACATCAACAAAAATTCATATAAAAACTTATTTTAAGATATTAATGTCGTGAAAAATGTATAAGCTTCAGAAGCCAGTTGAATGGGCACTCGTAAATAAAGGACTCTATCCAATGTTTATATTTAACATATCAACTGCCAACACTTTATGAAAGTATTGTATTTTAAAGTACAAATTTCTATCTGCCTCTCTCATATGAAAAATAATAGTTAGCAAAATGATTAACGAAATAATTGAATTAACCGACTTAATTTTTCAAGTTTTTGGGAAGGTTCCTCAAAGTTCCGATGGAGTGAGGCCTTCAAATATGAGCAGGCAGCAGTGATGACTGATGACGGCACTCTCGTACTCAAATTAACTGCACCACGATTTGTCCACGACGTTATTTTGGGGACCTGAATTTGTATAAGCACGTCTATGAAATAGATGGAAATTAATTTAAATAGTCACACGCAATAGCAAAATCCGTTAAATGGCTCGTTATGCAAATTTTGTCCGATCAGTAGTATCAATCAGAAGTTCGTTTAAACAATCTTATTAATTCATGCTCTCAAAAATATAAATTTAAACTTGAAAACTACAGATGTAAAATCTTCAATAATTCGACATGGCTCACCAATCAAGATAAAATATACTTGAATTAAAAGAAAAAAAAGATTAAGAATGAGAAAAAAGGAACATTTGAAACCTCCTGCAGCATATCAGCGACGCAGTGCACAACAGAGATTATAAGCTCCTCCAAATCCGTGTAGTACGGATAGAACATCATCTTCTTCGTCTCGTCATCCAGGATCAACTCCATCTTGAGCAATGGCAGGAGGGCCTTGTTGCGTTCGTCGAACGTATCCACCCAAGACTGGATGGATCGAGTCAACAGGTCACTTATCTGTTAAATTAACAGTCGGTGTGTGATGAAGAGGAAGATGATGGTGAGGAGGAGAAGAAGGAGGAGGAAAATGATGATGATGATGATAATTTATGATGACATTTGATTTTATTATCTACACGGTGATGCCGATGAATATCATATCACCATTGAACAATTTAATTTATATGGTAACAAACATATTCATGCAAATTCAAAATTGATGGTGATGATGATGACAATGATGTGATGATGAAGATAAAACAAACACAACAAGAGAAAATTACTTTTTGAGACATGAGACTAGCGAGGCAGTTGAAAAAGTTGTCAACTTTTTTTGGATGGATAAGGTGGGCATCTTTCTTCTCTGATATAACGTGCACTATCTTCTGGAACCAGCTGAACATGAAAATTCAATTCAAATTTTAACTGAATATAGAAATGGAACCAAATCGCAAAACAACGTTACATAACAGCTATTATAAATAATTTAAAAAACGTAATTTTGATGTATATAACTTGTTTCAAATGATTGCGAGACCATCAAGAAAGAACATGTAAAAAAAAATTTTCAAATATATCGTCGCCAACATTGTTTTGACTATATCTTCTTGTGATTTGCACTCTCTCACTATAATTGTCTTGAAGGCATCGAACGTTCTGCAACCCAGCGCCCTACTAAAAATGTAATAAGTCGTGAAGCGTTAAAATATGCTAATTCAATAATAATTAATCATGCAAGTCATCTTTTAAAATTATCTTATTTAAAAAATGTAATATGGCGAGGGAATAGCTAATTCATTATTCGATGTTTCAGATAGTCAACGGGACATGAATTTCGAAGTTTGAAAATGTTATAACATGTTATGTCTCATTTATTATTAACATCTACAAAAATTTTAAAAATTAATTTATTTTTAGTTAATTCAGGTCTAATAAAATCAAGAATCAGATTTTCTTCACTGAAGCAAAATTTTATCAAAAACCTATAATTTGAAGAGTCAAGGAGTAGCATGCTTCCAATGGTATCGTAAGAGATGGCGAGCACCTGTCTGCATGCATGGTGCGTGATGTAGAGATTTCTCATCAACAATCTCGATGATATGGAGGAGGAGTTAGGCTTTTTAAGCAGAGTGTACTCTTTCTTTATGGTGGTACTCCTTAAACTACTTTCCACTTCAACTTTGCTGAAATTTATAATGGAGCCGCTGTCTTCGTCTTTTCCATCCAATACATCATCCGGGTGTCTCAGTGTCATGCGAACTGTGGCGTTCAATAGTGCAGGTGGATTCAGTAAATTTTGTTTGTTTAAATAACATTAAATCAAAAAACTTTTATGAAAAATATTAACAATTAAATAAATAAATGATAAAACCGAATGAAGTTGAAATTACGTTTAAATCACACAAGTCAAACCAAATCTGATTATGTTTGTGCTACAGAACAATCTCTATAACTAATACCATTACTTGTCCGCATCAGGAAATACGGATGCATTTGAGATTGGCGTCGGCGTTCATCGAAGCAATTCATCCGGCAACTAAATACCTTGCAACATATAAAAAGTTGTCAAACACTTTCGTAGACCTTAAAAAAGCTTTGATCGAGTTCCCAAAAAACAATCAGCTGGAGAATCATTGATCATGGCTACGTACAAAAATACGAAGACACTCATCAACACAACGGATGGGAATACGGATGCGTTTGAAATGGACATCAGCGTTCACCAAAGCTAGATACTCACTTCACTGTTGTTTTTTATCACATAGATAGAAGAAATACCGACAAAACCGATATACACTGGCGACGTTTGGAATCTGATATATGCCGATGATGTTGTTTTAACTTTTAACGACCACATCAGAAAAAAAACGCCTCGAAAATGTTTGAAGAACTGGACGCTCAACACGCCGACCATGGGTTTAAAATCAACGTTAACAAAACAAAAGCGACAAAAAGTGGCGAGTCCATCAAACCTACAACAGTTGGATGTTAGCCTTGTTCTGTCCGCTAAACTAGTGAGCATCAATTCAATCACGTGTCGACATGCCGCGGATGGTGAACAAAGATTGATTGATTGTCCATATTAAATCTGTAACTAATTTCGAAAGTAATCTAGAAAATGTTTTAGGCTTCTTAAATTTTGACAGTTTTTTGAAAATTTTCAATTTAAATAAATCATCAGCTAACCAAAGGTTTTGTCTTAACTATTTCAACGGTATGTAATAAAGTTTTTGTTTAAACTCATTTATTAAACAATAAAAATAAAAAAAATTTAAATATTAAAAACCATTTAATTTTTTAATAGTTTCAATGAAATCCTCATCAATTTCTTTCTTCAGCTGGTCAGACAATTCTTTAACGTTAGGGTTGTTCAACAATTTGTCAGGAACCAAGTTTAATATCCTGTCATACAGCTCTGGCTGCATTGGAGTGATTGGACTTGCTTCAATTATTTTTTTCATGGCCTCATAGTTCATCTAACAAATTATTAAATTTTGAAAAAATAATTAAATTTTAAAAGAATTAACTGAAATTTACAGCAATTAATCGAATTTTCGAGCACCTTCCATAAATACAAATTTTATAGATTAAAAAAAAGTACTGTTTAAAAAAGAAGACTTACTCTAAATAATCTTCCTTCACTATACATCTAGAAAAATATAAAATAGAAAATTTATGTCATCTTCATTAAAAAGTAATAATTGGAAAAAAAGACAGATTAAACAAGGCAGGAACTGTAAATTTGCAAAATATAATATATCAACTATTCAAAGTGCTCTAATAAACTTAACTCAAGCCAACCCCACCTCTGGAGGATAGTCAATCTTTCTTTTCAACTTGTTGCTACTTTGTTCACACATCTTAGTCACTTTTTCATAAGCATCTTTGGCATTTTTATATCTAAAAGGTATATAAATAATGTTTTATTTATACTTATAAAAAGAAATTTTAAATGATTTTATATATTAATGATAACGATTTAACGACACAAAGAAATGAATATAATTTAAAAATGATGATAAAAAAGTGAAATGCCAACATCTGGTTCTTCACAATCATGACATCTTTCATATATTTTGCTGGTTTAACTTTATATGTTATATCGTTTGGGTTAATAATGTTTATGTGTGCATATTTGTTAACAGGAGGTAATCTGGTAGGGGCTTTGTCTGAGTGATAGAACCTACGTTGATGTTCTAATATTTCTTCACGAAGAGAACTGTAATAAAATCATAAAATAATTTTTTAAACCTTATTTTTTATTTAGAAAATTTTTTTAGCTTGTTGAAGATCACGTCACGTCATAAATATGTTGACGTGCATTACATGAAATCATATCAAATCATGAGTAAAAAAATCATGACGCTTATTTAAAGATCATAAAATATTTTTTTAAACCTTATTTTTTATTTAGAAAAAATTCTTTAGCTTGTTGTAGATCACGTCACGTCATAAATATGCTGACGTGCATGACATGAAATCAAATCAAATGTAAAATATTATTTATTTTTAAAAGTTAATGACTTGACACTTGAGGCTTCCGATTATGTATATATTATTTGCAGTTCATCATTTGTTTGTGTGAACTATGCGTGCTAAAAAAATTCAAATGAACTTGATAAACAAATTAACCAATGTGGCTTTCGTTTCGATTTTCTATTCATTTTGAAAAACGATCAAAAAAAAATATAGCCTGGAAGTAAAATTATTTAGAATTAATATGAACGAAAATTTTTTCATGACAGACAAAACCGCCGCTTGAAACGTAACCATGGCAACTAAATCAAAATTCATTTATCTTTGCTCTTTAAATTTATTAAAGCAGGCTGTGTTTGCTTTGTTTTTAAAGCAAAAATGTGTACATTTTTGACTGATTGATAACTGAATAACTGATAAAATTTTTGTACCTAACTTTACATATTTCTTGCACAACAAAGAATTTTAAATTTTTTCTTAAATTGTTATGTAATGTATATCGTATACAGTGTTTGAAACTGGCAACTATTTTGCTGCGGGTGATTATATAATGACGCAAATTCTTCCAAGTCAACGATCAAATCATTTAGTAAGGTTTGATTCCTACATGTGTCACAAAATGTTTCTGTATGACAAAAATCAGAAAAATGTAATTTGCAAAACTAAGGAACAAGAATAATTATTAACTGACCAAACGTCAAACATAATCTGGCATAAAGGTCCTGTTCGTGTGTAATGCCATTGCTGCTCTTGTTTTCAGTTTAACTAAAATCATGATAGAGGGTTTACTATATAAGAACAAATGACAAAACACCACGCTAAAGCTTTTCAGTCAGATTCTGTAACACTTGAAGTATTCTAACCGATTTTAATAATGCGATAAAATTATTTTTTCTAATGCAGACCATGGATATAATATATATATATATATATATATATATATATATATATATATATATATATACATATATATATATATATATATATATATATATATATACATTCATTCGTTTGAGGTTTCGGCTGGTTTCGTTTCTGCTCCGTGTTTTTCTTGATTATATAGAATTTTCATATAGTGATTTAATTAAATTTAGTTGCATATAATAGAGGAAATTTAGACAAACAAATTTATATATTTTTTTATCGAAATTATTATTTGTTAACTTTACTTTATAACTACGCTTATTTAAATTAGGTTTTCCATTAAATTAAAGCAAATAACATAAATTAAAGTTGAAGTTGTTGGTACAAAAAGGATTGTTTTCTACTAGTTGTGTTTGTTTGTTTACTTTGTGTTTTTCTGTTTTTGATTTCTTACAGACTTTATAGCAACTTTTGTAAACAATTAAACTTGAAATGAGTACACGTGCAAAGACAAAGTCAGATTCGTTGAAAAACTTCAGCTGTTTTCGTTGCGGTTGTGTTTCAAATCTTACGTTAATACCAGATGATGTGTACTGTTTTATTCAGAAGTATAATAATTTGAAGTGGTTTTGTGATACATGTAACAATGTTTCTCCAGACACCAAATCATCAGCGGAAATAGACACGGATCTGCTTGCGAGGGCAGTTGACAGAAGTAAACAGGAATTGATGATTAAAATTGATGGATTGACAGATGCCAGTAAAATCATAGAATCGGAGCTCCGGAATATCAGATGTGCAGTAAAATTGAATGATGAAAAATTAAGCAACATTAATCATGCTGTTGATGAGATGCGTACGGGCAGTGGTGGAGTCAGTACGTCATGGACCGATATAGTAGCAAAGAAGTTAAAAAAACATTGATGTAATTAACGTTGAAGTCAAGAATGTGCAAAAAAAGTTGAATGATGCGACAGACATCAAGGAGAGAGAAAAAAATTTGGTGCTTTTTAGACGTGCTGAAGGAGACGACGACAAAGAACGTGTTATGAAGATTTTTAATCAGTCGACCCGAAACGAAGTTGCCGAGAAAGCAGTTGTTAAAGTAACGAGACTGGGGAAAAAACAAGAAAAAATAAACAGACCGTTATTGTTAAGTCTTGATAGTGTTGAGTCGAAAAACTTAATAATGGATAATGTATCACGAATGAAATCGTTGGATGATGTCCTAAAAGGTGTTTGGCTTAGTCACGACCTATCAAATGATCAGAGAGATGAGCTGAAAAAGTTGATCAATGATGCAAAAAAGCAGGAATCTGTAAGCGGTGATTTTTTATTCAGAGTGAGGGGACCTCCGGGAAGATGGAAAATAGTCAAGTTTCGGAGGGATCAAAAACTGAAAGAAAAAGTTTGATTGAGAGAGATGGCACTGATGGTAGCGTTGATGATATTGATTTTGATGGAGTAAACGTTGAAAGTTGTTTTAGATATGCAAATAATAAAAGCCATTATGGTAAGTGTCAATATAAAATCTCAAGTCTTGATGTGTGTGGTGAAAGTGGTTGTAACAATAAAAATGCAATAGGTGAATTTCAGTATGCTGAGGATGATAAAATTTAATGAAGCATCTGGTAAAGGTAAGCCTGCTAAAATTGGAAATGAGGAGCGATCGGTGGTTCTGGGAGTTTTAAATATCAGATCTATAATAACAAAATTCAGCTCTATTTATGGTTTGATTCACGAAGGCCTAGACATCTTTGTTTTGACGGAGAGCTGGCATGGTTCGGCAGATAATATTTCCATTGGGTTATCAATGCCACCTGGCTATCAGTTTGTAGACCGTTTAAGATCGCACGACCCACATCATGGAGGTTTAATCATTTTTTTCCGATCAATTTTTAGATATAAAAAGATCACTCTGCCACTGGCTACTGCTTTCGAGGTTCTGGTGGTGAAACTTAAAATTAATGAATTAGATTATATCCTACTGGCAATTTACAGACCTGGATCTGAACAATTAACGACATCATTTTTTGATGAACTGATTTCGGTCTTAGAATGTGTTACAATCATTAGTTCCCGTATTTTGTTAGCGGGAGATTTTAACATTCACATGGAGAAGTCGAACAATCCAAACGTTGTTAATTTACGTGAAATATTTGAAATGTTTCAGTTGATCAACCACATAGATGAACCATCGCATATTCTAGGAGGAACGCTCGATCTGATTGTGACGTCACACAATATAGCTGTCAGTGAAGCAAAGGTTTATCCTAGTGGAATCTATTCTGATCATGGTTTGGTACAGGTTAGTTTATCAATAAAATTGACAAAGTCTCTGAAAGCAAAAAGATTGATCCGACTCTGGAATCGTTTTGATGAGAAAACTTTTGCTGAGCAGGTACTTGAGTCTCCAGTATCCAGACCGTGTAAAACTGATGATGTAAATGCAGAATTTGGTTTATTCAGTGACGAGGTAAGGAGAATTGTTGATAGGGTTGTTCCTCTTGTACTTGTGCTGCCTGGGCGCCATCATGTTGCACCGTGGTTTGATGATGATTGCAAGGCTTCAAAACGGAAATCTAGAAAAAAAGAAAAAATTTTTAGAAAAAGTTGTAAATTGTTTGATAAAAATGAATGGATATTGGCCCTTAAAGAAAAAACTGAAATTTATTCAAACAAACGTAAAGTATATTGGAAGAAAGTTGTCAATGAAAACAGTAAAACTCCAAAGAGCTTGTGGAGGGTGGTTAATAAAATTTTTCTAAACAATCACAGTGAAGGCACTAAACGCGAATTCAATGATCTCAATGCTGGCCAGTTCATGACTTTCTTTAATGAAAAAATTAAAGTGATAAAACAGGGGATTGACACTGAAAATCAATCTTGTCTTAACAGTGATGATCATGGATGTCAGCAGTTGTTTTCGACTTTTCGGGCGGTGTCTGAGGCTGATGTCAGGAAAGAAGTGCTTCATTCACCTAAAAAGTCCTGTCAACTAGATATTTTACCAACGCGTTTTTTTTAAAAAGCATTTTGAATTGTTTTGTCCATTTATAACCAGTTTAATAAATCTGTGCATGAGGGTAGGTTGCTTCCCCACACCTTGTAAGCATGCAATTGTTGTGCCGTTGTTGAAAAAAAGTTATGCAGATCCAGATGACGTCAGTAATTATCGACCAGTCAGTAATCTATCATTTATATCAAAACTCATTGAAAGAATGGTGTCGAGACAATTGCTTGCTCATTTGAATGATAATAATCTCATGCCTGCACATCAATCCGGTTTCAGACGATTTCACTCCACTGAAACTGCTCTGCTGCATGTTCTCTCAGGGGTTTATGCTGAGATGGATGCTCAAAACATTTCCTTGTTGGCATTTTTGGACATGAGCTCGGCTTTCGACTGTGTCAATCATGAAATGTTACTGCTCAGGCTACATCAAAATTTTGGAATATCTGGGGAAATAATAAATTGGCTCAGAAGCTACTTGATTAGCCGAACACAGCAGGTTTCGTTCAACGGGAGTTTGTCCTGCGTCAGTGTGGTTCGCTCTGGTGTGCCGCAGGGATCTGTTTTGGATCCTTTATTGTTTCTGCTTTATACATCTGATGTGCTGAAGATAATTGATTCATATGATTTGAAAAGCCATGCATATGCAGACGACATTTAAATTATGTTATCAGGTAAACCGAAGTTATTTCAAGACGAGATTACGAGGTTCATTGAATGTATGACGGAGGTTAATCTGTGGATGTCGAGAAATGAATTGAAGCTTAACCAGGGTAAAACAAAATTTCTTCCTATTGGTACCTGGCAGCAGTTGGCGGACTTAGATATAAATTCAGTTGTTATGAATGATAAAAAAATAGATTTCTGTAAAGCAGTGTCGAACCTAGGTTTTATAATAGATTCAAACCTAACAATGAAATCTCATTTAAAGATGATCTCTATATCATGCTTGGCACAAATTAGAAGAATGAAACGAATTCGAGAATCACTTGATAAAGACGCAATGCAGACTCTGGCGCATGCGTTGGTGCACTCACGTGTCGGTTATTGCAATAGTTTATTTTATGGCATTCTTGCTATTTTGTTATTAATATTAGTTATAATTTGATAGCGTTTGTGAAAACTGCTATAACGAACGCTATATTAAGCTTTCTATTAATAATATATATATATATATATATATATATATATATATCCACGATGCAGACTTTCATGCACATAATTTTCTTTTGTGTGAATAAATCTTTTGATAAAACAATTTTTATTCTATATTAAACATTATAGAGAGACACACGAACTATATATTTCGCTTGTTCGCTTCATTTATAATATACACGGCTCGCTTGTGACTTCGCTTGTGAATGAATATAACAAAAACATAAATTTTTGAAAATTTGGTTTTCCATATTTCTGCACTTCGTTAATGAAACAAAGGATTTAAAAGGAAAAACTTCTTGAGTTGTTTGGTTTATTGGTCCGCAATTTTTCATTGTTTCATGCAGTTGCTCCCGTGCAAAAATGCCGCGGCTAACCTCGAGAAGACAAGAGATGCAGGAGTTAATGAACGAAATCGAAAATAAAGCGTTTGAAAAGAAGGTCCTGGATAAAGAAGATCGGTTGAAGAATCTTGTTGCACCCATTGAAAGTTACATCAAGTCCGCCGAAGTACTCCTTACATGGGAGTTTCCCTTTGCCTCTGCTTTGTTCACCAATGCCATCTTTGTGTTGCTCATGTTAGTTATTTATTGATCGTTTATTCATTAATTTAATAATTGTTTATTTGAAAATACTCACTTAAGAAGATTGACATTAACTTACTTAAGGATTAAGTTTGGGTAGGTTAGGTTTGTTTTTTCTAATTTTTTAATTAATAATTATATTATTGTTATTTTTGACCGTAATTAAGTTAAAACCATCCGTTTGAATTTGATTGAAATGATAAAAAAGAAGCAAAATCATTCATCCGTTAAAATTTAAATCAATAAAAAATTGAAAATTCATCTGGTTGTGGTCTGTTTCAAGCTTATTTAATAATTTAATTCATTAAATTTAAAATAAATAAATACCAGTTTGTGAGACTACAAAGATGAGCACTGATTTAGGATGCGGTTCAGTGATGCCAAGCTATTGAATTTTATGACATAATATTATTAGTTTATATATTTACATAACCCAAAAATGTCATTAAAACCCTCAGATTATTTTACAATGTTAACACACTGGTGGCGATTTCTGCTTGTGGCTACATCTGTATCTTTGTGTACTCCTTGACAGTTTTTCTCCACTCTACAGGTTTTTATTTACGATACTTTGTTTAATTGTAATGATTTTCAACATAAAATGTTGTTATTAAATAGATAAATACAAATATATATTTAAGATTTATTTTTAAATAATTTTATTTGTTCAGAAACTGAGGAGTCAGCTGATGGGTTAATGAGTGTTTATTTGTAATATTCTGTGTTAAGTTTGTTATTACATCTTTTTATATTTCATATCATATTTAGTCTTTTGATTAAAAAGTTAACAACAACAAATATGCTTTTTTTTCTACGTGTATTGTATTTTGCATATGTAGATTTTCTTAAAACAGATGATATTTTATGTGCTTTATTTATTATTTTACAGAGTTATTAATTTTACTCAGTCAAACTTTTTATATAAATGCTATTTTAGTTGGATACAAGTGCAGACGAGAAATGAAGGTGAATTTGATCTCATTTCAACTGTTGCCTGGTTGGTTGTCACCTTTGAGACAATTTGGTCAAATGGCATGCAATTAAGAAAAGATGACAGAGATAAGGTTAGTTGGTTAAAGAAATTATCCCATTAGCTTGGAATTATAGTGACATTATTTTGAAGTTTTTCATAACAACATTCTGCAGTTTGATGTTATTGGTCTCTGCATTTGTTTTTTCCTCTTGATTGTAGGATGGTCGCTTTCGGATTTTGCTTTGCTTTGCATATTTGGTTGGTTTTTTGTACTGTATTCCGTTTTTTATTTTATGAATTTATCATTTCTTTTGCTGACAGATTCATGGAATAAGTCAACATCAGCACTCTTATTATGACTTGCAATTTATTTCTATTAAATTATTTTGAGAAAACAAAAGTTAATTGAAAATAACATTGTCTTGTTGAAACATTCAGTTTTTATTAATTGATGAGTTACTATCAAATAATTTTTCAACAATCATCACAGTAACATTTGTGTTGTTGTGGCCTGTTGTGAAGTACAACAAGTTGGCTGCATCTGTCATCTCATTTTTTGCTGTTTTAGAGAGATTCTTGAATATTAAGAGAACTGTGAATCCAAGTTTGTTTATAATATCACTTTTCGTGTTTTTCATTTCATCACATGCAACAGGCTTTTATCAAAAATAATATTTTATATATGTTTATAAGATCTTACAACTCGATTGTTTATTTTGTCTTTGTTTTTTTTAAATATTTTCACTTTTAATTTTAAGGAAAAGTAAGGAGACAGTTGAGAAAGCAAATGGTAAAAGAGAATATTTATGTTAGAAACATGGATGAGATTGCAGAAGACCATGGTGATGATTCAGATGCGGAATTGCGAGAGTTCATACCCCCTGAGGAATCTTTCCCACCTTTAATGGAAGGAAGTAAATATGATGAAAATATTGATGAACAAGTGTATGAAGATGAAGATAGCGATGCTCAAGAATTTCTACCTGATGAATCTATTCTTTCTGACTCAAGAGATGCCACTGATGACGGTTCAAAATAATTTCATGGACATTCATTGCTTTTTCATAATAAATTTGTGACTAAAAATTATTTCATTTCAACAGAATACCTTCCTAATGAACCTAGCTCTCTTTTCGCGGATGAAAAATTTGGCAGCTCAGAGCATCCCTTGTCTGGTGATATGTCTGGTAATAAAATCAACACCAGTGACATTAATAAAGGAGCTGTTGCTAACACTGGAAAAGCAGCGAAAAAAGAAAATGATAAAGATGCGAATGATGGCTTTTCTGATGGTTTGACATTTGAAAATGTAGACAAATATGATTATGTTGGTGATATTAAACAAAATGCTACTAGCAGGCTTGGTAGTTTCCTAAATCAAGCAACCAACATGGGTAAAACACTTGCTGGGTTTAGTCTGCTGAAATATACTTTAGGATCCGTCATTGGATCATCAACAACTGCAGAATCAGTTAACCCTGCAAAAAATAATAGAGAATCTCCAGTTGAAGATGACCAGTTTGATCTTAGTGGGGTAGAGTTAGAGGCTTTTGCTATACCTGACAATTAATCTCTCATATCAGACATCAGTCAACCATTTTATGTTTATTAAATTAAGTATTTAAGTGATTTTAAACTCGATATTTAATGCCCAGCATTAAATTTATCCTTGCGTGTTTTTTTAATAATGATAATCTATTACTTCTGGAGACGCCCAACTGTTATATGTAAATGTTTTATTTCAAGATACTTCGTATTTCCAGTGAGATGTTCATATACGTTACATTATTTTATCTTGTGTTATTTTGATTGAACCGTCATAAATATTTCAATTTGTTTTAACGAACTGTTTTGCCAGTTAAACATGATTTGGCATTGATTTTTAGATTTGAAATACCCATTAAACTATATTGTTTGCATTGATCAAAAGGCTTGTGGTTCGATCACGCCACTTCTCAAGCTTTACTGGCCGACCGATTAACAAGCGAGTGAGCTAGAGCACGTGAGCCTGGCGGAAATTCCCGGTTCTTTTAAACATCAAACTAGAAAGTCGCATTCTGTCTTCAAATCCGATTTTTTCTATTTAAAAAAATTTGTATAAATTAAATTTATAGGTACATGATTGGAGCAATTAATTTAATATAGAGAGAGCCCAAGACAGCTGAAAGCCATTGAGACTACTGAGCAGTAGTTCGCTCTTGTTTTCATCTGTTTGATGTTGTGTTCTATGTAGATTCCAGTTATTCAAAGGCCGCTTCGAACCAATTTTTTTACTAATGAATTGCATTTTGAATCCCACTTCTTTCTAGGAGTATCATGATGATTTAGAGGGAACAAGTCAATTCTCCATCTGTGTTGAATGTTCAAGCATGTTTTTTTTACTCGTCAGTTGACAAGAAAAATATTGTTTCTATCTTTTATCAATAGTTCTTGAAAATGTTTTTCTAAGCAATTGTTTCATTTGTCGAAAAATAAATTTCTTCCAACTAGTCAACCCGCAGATCAATTTTTACGACTGAGGCTGCGCTATTGAACGCTTATTCAAACCTTTTTTCCTCTGTTGATAATAACACGTTTCATTTCTTATTTTCTGGATATGAGCATAGCTTTTGACTGTTTGGATCATGAGATACATTTTAATAATCTAAATTCTTATTTCAGTGTTCGTGGAAATGTTCTCTTATCATTTCACTAAAAAAATAGAACCCAGTTAATTAATTTTAATGGCGATTTGTCTGTATTTGAGGAAATATGTAATGTTGTTCAACAAAGATCGGTGTTGGGTCCATTGTATTTGATGCATGCTGCCGTTGCTTTGTATGTCATTAAAACATAGGACTTGAATGTCACCGCGCATACTAAAAAGCACTTTTTCAAAAAAGTTGACTGCATAGCGCGTCTATCTTCACTATTTTATATGTATCACAACCATATACTTATAATAGCAACACACAGACCACAACATACGAGCGTGTATTTTTTAAATCGAATGATCTTTTTTTTAAATAATAGAGATTTTTCAAATTTTCAACTTTTTTAGAACTTACGCTTTTTTAAAAATTCGAAATTAAATTCTACTCATTTATATGCTATTTTTTTTACCACAAACTGTTTAAGTTCTAAGGTTTTTGCTTTTTGTTTTTTTAATATGATTTTTGTCAAAAAACAGTTTAAAAATTAGCGTTCACATGAATCTCAACTTTAAAAATAGATTATTAGTTTTGCGACATGATTTCATTCAAAGTATCGTCCAAAAGCTGAATTTTCTTCATTTCTTTCTCTTGTTTGTCTTCCCATTTTTTTAATTTATCTTTGTATTTTATCTTGTGCATTTCTAAAATACCAATCCTGCGTTTATCAATTTTATTTATTAGCTTGATAACAAAACACATTTTATGACAACTGTTTTGAGGCATTACCTTTTTTTAATTTCCTCAACAGCATTTTCTAATTTCGTTTGTTCCTTAATTATGTTGTCAATTTGCAGTTGCTCTTTTTTCATGTTTTCTTTTATTTGCTCAACGTTTGACAGCAAATCGTTTCTTCCATGTTTTAAAGCTTCGCATCTCATCAAAGAGTGTGTTTTGTCTTCGTCGTCATCCACTTCAGCATTTTTAAATAAGTGACTGCTATTAGATTCTGTCAAAAAACAAATTTAAAAAAATTGTAACAATAGAGATAAACCAAAAGTCTATACCATCAAAAGAGTTTTTAGATTTGTGCACCGAATGTTTCGACCAGGCTTGTTGCCTCAACTGCAGTTCATTGATCTAAATTCGTGGTTAAACATTAAAATCATTGAGATTACTCAAAAGGTAATTGCTAGAAAATTTTCAAATATTTTTATTTATGATTTAAAACGATTAGTATGAAACAACAGTTTTATATTCTAAACCCTATCAATTTTAATTTTATTTAATCAGACCAAAATAATAATCGACATAAAAATTCAGCATGAAGAGCTAGCTTATTTACTACTTAATTGCGTCACCCCCGTGTCATATCAAGGCAAACCTATACTGCATTAGTAGCTTACTCGTTATTTTCTCTTTTGGTTGAAATCAAAAGGGGGAGTTACAGTAGGTAGTGTTGTAAAATCAAAACATGTGAAAGTAAATTTCTTTTTATATTGTTACATCAAATAACCAAAATCGATAAAAATTTGTAGTTTGATTTAAATAAATAACTTTCATATTGGTAAACGAACTTAACTAACTCGATATTTTGATCTGTTCATTACACACTTTTGCAACCACATAGGAATATTACCATGGTGATGAAAGAATTCCATATTAAAAACGAATTAGATTAAAAATTAATTCAGTAATTATTTAAAAAATGACATTAACCATTTAGAATATACCATGACCATAACCATATATATGGAATAAATAAATGCATTAATTAAAATGATGTCGGCAAGATGGCTCAGTGGTTCAAATGCGCGCTGAGTCAAACATCTCAATGGCTATCGTGTGAAAAGGCCTTCGTGGCAAAGGTGTCTGCTCCAAATCAATGAATGATGATATGAGGAACATAATAAAGATATATAGATTATGTATATGTAACATTGTAAATGGTTCTGCGTATGTCAGAATTGCAATAATAATGAATAAAAAAGAATCGTCAACTAACGTCAACAAAGTGCTAATCTAACAAAAATGTCAGGTGTAAATAAATAAATTTAATACAATTACAACGATAATTATCATCAGTGGCGTCCGTGTCGTAGATACCTCAGGTTCAACAGGCTCCTTAAACCAGGTTCAAGATTAAAAAAGGTTAAAGGTTTATTACACTCTTCCAAAATTCAGAGGGATCAATGAAGCACAAACAGCGTATATGAATATTGGATATATGAATACATGCTAAACAACGTATCACACACAATATTGTTTGATGTCAACTTATTCCTTCGTGACGATGTGCAGTCTGTTCAGAGAACACCGCAGCGAGACATGTTGCTGATTATTCGAAATTCGATTCTATATCATCATACATCAGGGATGATCTACACTGGCTCCGCATGCCAGAAAGAATCGTTTTCAAACTAGATCTTCTATTCGGAGACTTTCTTACTGGTGACACTCCAACCCATTTGAAAGAACAACTACAATTAGTTTCAGAAATTGCAAATGGTGAGTAGGTTGTGATCCTCCGATAATATATATAAATATATATATATATATATATATATATATTTATTTATTATATATATATATAGAGTCTGTGTTTTTATGTGTGTGTGGTGTGTGTATATACACAAATAATGCCTCAACAACATGAATGTATTATTATTTTATTGCTATGTATTTTTTCCTTGTAATATCATGCAATTTAAAGACCAAAAACTTGTGGTTTTTCCGGGTTCTGCAACCTCTATCGGTTTCGTTTTTTTTAACATATATATATATATATATATAAATGGTTAGTTTTATATTATATATATATATATATATTAAAGTATTATATATTATATATATATTTATATAAATATTATATAATGAGCTTTGTCTACCCTGCGTTGTTTATTTTGTTGGCTCGTGAGTTGTATTTTCGCTAATTTTAAAAATTAAAATAAATTGAAAACTATTAAAATTATTAATTTTAAAACCTATTCATCTCATCTTTCAAAGTGAAAGTTTACAAATTAATTTCTTGCGCTCTTGATTTTTAATTTTCTTTTATTTAATTAATTTTATAAATAAAAAATTAATTAAATTAATAATCATGGGTGACTATGATGAAGAAAAAAGGTTTGGTTTTTATATCATTTAATAACCATTCTTACAATATGATTAAAGTGATTAAACATTAATTAAAATTTGTAATCTTTATTGTTATTTTGTTTTATAAACATCATAAAAAAATGAAGTTTTTTATTTTCATTTTTTATACTTGATAAAATCAAAATGAAAATCATAAATACATCAATTATTTTTTTACAGTACTAATAAGTTTGCCTAATTTCACAATATAATAATTGATAGTACTATTATATTATAAAAAAAAATTATACATTCAATATAAAATGCATATAATATAATTATATTGATATTTTAATTTAATAAAATATAAGAAAGAGATTAGCTATAATAGCTAACTATAAGACATTGATCAATAAAGATAATTAATAAGAAGGGCATGTAATGTGAGGAGGCAAATAATTATTTTTCACAGTGGACAGACAAACCATGTATTATTAACTAGCAAATTAATTATTGCATTAGGATTAGTTGATTATATAGAAAGTTGGTACACTCAACTGAACACTGACTGAAGTGATAGATGGATTGACATTAGAACTCAACTCAAAAAAATTCATACTCATAAAATTAAATTTTTACTATATTTAAACAACTAAATAATTTGTTATTGATTTTGAAATTTTTTAATGTTATTTAGGAAATTTTGAGTATTCATCATTACTTTGAATTTTTCAAAATTCAGAATACTTAATTAAATGAATTGCATAAACTAACTTGATTTAAATTAATAACATGATATTATTTAAATGTAAAAATCTCATGATATCATTGAACTAGATAATGTGTTGTCATTAATATTAATAAAAGCAAAACACTTAGAGATTATCTTGATGGCACTTCAACTTAGTAGTTTGAACTTTCATGTTGGTTAATGGTTTGAAACACTGAAATGTTTACTCTGATTAAATGTTTACTTTGCTTATGTAATCTTTACATACCCTACATTGGTTGTTATTAAATGTTCTTTTTATTGTGGTAATCATTGTACAAAAATAATTTTTTTGTTATTAAATGCTTAATGTTGTGTATACAAAACTTGAAAAGATATGTGATGTTATTATTACCTTTCCATACGAAGGGTGAAAGCACCAAATAAGAACCTCAGCAGTTTAGATGTTGACATATTCCATCATCTGGGAATAAACTCAAAATGCAAACACTTCAATAATATTTTCAGTGATATTAAGGTTAACTATCATTCATTATTATTATCACTAAATTGCCTTATATGTAACAAAGTATACCATTGTAACTGTATTTTACATTTACGGATTAACTTCACCCCACAGTTTGTATGCATGGGAGGCAGCCACAAGAGAATGGGGTACCTCGCGCAGTACGTGGCTGACGAGTTGAAGATAGATATCCCAGCAGGCTGTGCACTGACCAACATCAGTCACCAAACAGACAGATACGTCATGTTCAAAGCCGGTCCCGTCCTTTGTGTCAACGTTAGTTTTGTTGCATGAATGGTGTGTTCATGTCTGAGTTTTCTAGTTAATGAATCAAGATGATGAACTAAAAGTTTATTTGATATTTTCAATGTTATTGTAGTGTAGTGATGTATTTCCTCTTAAACACCATCAGCACGGCATAGGAGTCAATTCAACAATGGTCGTTCTACATGAAGTCATCAAGGCCCTGCACTATTCACAAGCCTCTGATGTCCATGTCTTCAGAGTTGGGACGTCTGGCGGACTTGGTAAGCCATATATTAATATTATTATAAATGTTTGTGTGTGCGTGCAAACGTGCTTGAATGTGTGTTTCGTCAATTTTACACTGTAACATTCATATTGATGAAAAAAGTGTCAGTTTTATTATGTTAGAGAAATTTGCTTAATTGTGATAATAAATTATCAAGAAAAATAGGTTCTGGTTGCACTTTGTTTTTTTCATCTGGCCATAGGTCGATTTAGTTGGAAATCTGATCTGGTTGTTTTATCAATCCATCTGACTGAGCTATCATTCTGTTTATGTGTCATTTATGCTTGCAGTAAACTTTTGAAATTTAGTCATATAGGTTGATTGTAAAGTAAAGTTTTACTATAACTTTCTTGCTTATGAAATGCATACCATTTGCTTATTACAATGTTTGATCTATTAATAATATAGTATACAGATGTATGGAGGGACTCGGGTTAAATGCCGAGTGAGAACATGTCAAGGTGTGAAAATGTATCAAATGCTATCCTTGAAAAGTCATTTAAATATTTGAATAGAAGTGTGGAAAGTTGTTGAGTTTAAAATGCTGTTGCCGTTTCACATTAAATCAATCTGGCTGTCATAATAAAGTGAATGTATAATTAATGAATAATATGAGTTTAACATCTGCAGAGTGTAATAATAAGTACAGCCTGTGGATGGTAATTCAATATGTTTGTTTATGATGTTTTTTGAGGTCCAATGCTCTTTTCATTATGAATTTATATGAAATTTATTATGATATCATATGGGATTCATATGATATCATATGGAGTTCATTATGAAACCATATGCAATTCATTAGGATATATTTGATTCATTATGATATCATGCGGAATTCATTATGGTATGGAATGTTGTTCTATGGGATTGGAGTCATGCATGGTAACTGTTGTTACAGCTTGCTTGCTTGATTTTTATCATTCAACCACTTACTACATGCTGTTTAGTGAAATGTTCGTTCTATATTGACATGCATTTAATTTACATCAACACTATGAAAACGTTTTATAGTAACGAATTAATTTTAAACTGGCTAAAAGTTTTTATAAATTTTTAAACTTTTGGTGTTTGTACTGATATATTTCCGTGTAACCATTGCAAGGTGTTGTGAGCAAGTTTCTGCAAAGTAATACGTACGTACGTAGAGACATCATGATTGTGTGATGGCGCGCCCAGTTGGAAGATGAACCATCAAATCGAGGCTTGCAGTTGCGTTGTAGCATGCTGCTGCCTTTCTCGATGTCTAGATATTTTTAACGCTAGCAGTTTTTAGAAAATTTTGAGGTGCCGTTAATTCTTCTGTCAGGTTCAAAAATTGATTCACGCGAGATCATAAACTTAATGAGCAGAGAGTGAAGTGAGTTACACAGCACACCCTGCTGAGAACATTTTTTAGATGACAGATGCCAGTGACTCTTATTATGCTCAGCCTATCGTTCTAACTACTTACCACCGCTTTATAAACTTATTCTACCACTTATTATTCTTTCTAAATTAGGTAGCTATCCAGAAGCGAACTTTTTCATTTTTGTACATATCTTAATTGAAATAAATGGAACTTGAAACAACGAATATCAAACATGCACAAAAGGTTTGGAGCCGGGCACAGTGGTGTTGACAAGTGAAGCGCTGGATGGGTGCTTGAGAAATTTCTTAGAAGTGGTTTGTTCATTTCAACTTTTAAATTTCACCAATTTTTTAATTAATTGATATCATAATTAAATTTTTTCTTGTTTTCCCACAAAATGGCTAATTATTAATTTTCATGGAATGACTTAGTTATGCACTTTCTTTAATAAATCAGATGTTTAGTTTTGTCATATTGTTCTCGTGATTTGTTCCAGGTAGATGCAACACTTCTAATTATTATACCTGTTAGCAATATTAATTTATTTCCTAATCAATCTTCTAGCCGATTTTAGGAGAGATGGTAAAGAAGCCAAGCAAGCTGGATGGCCAGCTGAACAACAAACTTCTCCAATGTGCTCTCAAAGACGACGACTTCCAGATCATTCTTGGCAAAACAATTTGCGCCTGGGATTTTTATGAAGGTGAACTTTCACTGGCTTAAAAAATTCAACAACCTTACGGAAGTTGTGAATGTGCATGTACGATTGTATGTATGTATATACGAGCAACACTCGCGCTTAAATTAAATACAGGGCAAGGAAGATTGGATGGTGCAGTTTGTGAGTATGATGAAGAGAAGAAAATGAATTTCCTCAAGAAGGCCTACGACTTTGGCGTTCGTAATTTAGAGATGGAGGCACTTGCCTTTGGATATCTATGCAGCCAGGCTAACATATCATGTTAGTGCTTGTAATGATGAAATGTGAATCGCCGTATGTGTGAGTGTGTATGTTTGTGTACTTTAATATTTCAACAGCATTACAACATCATTAGACCAATGAAACTATTATAGCTTATTAACTGCAACACTAGTGTCATCATGGTCGTTGTTGTCGTGTCATTATGATTGGATCGTTTCCATCGTCATCATCGTTGCCACCACCACATGATAATCACCATTCATAATCGTCATCATCACAATCTTGCATCATCGTCGTCGTCGTCATCATAATTTCACAACAGCTGCGGTGGTCTGCTGCACATACTTGGACAGATTCAAGGGTGACCAGGTGACGGCCAGCCACGAGACTCTGGCCAAGTGGCAGGACCGACCGATCAGAGTCGTCGTCAGGTATATGAAACAGTATCTCAACATCAGAGTGTGATAGTGCAGTTGTAATGGGAGGGGAGATGAAGCTGGCGACAATAATAATGATGATAGTGACGCAAGAAATAATCGCAAAATTTTGATCGAATGAAAATGATGAGGCCGATGTGGGTTGTTGGAAAGATTAAGACAAAAAAGACAGAAAACATTGAACGGCGCGATTTGTATGGTTTGATTGTTTGTTATCTATTTTTATTTCACTGCAGGGCCTTACATTCCTTGTCAAGTTTGTATGTTTGTTTACCTGTGTGTATATTTTCACACACAAACACACACACTCACTCGCACACACAAACACCACACACACGCACGCACACACAAATACACACATAAACCCGTATAGACATTAGTATTTTTAACATGAATGATTAGCCTTTAGATTGTTATTATTATCAAGCATATGTTCAATTCACGATAAATTATACTATTACTACATAGGTCCTGGTTACATAATTTCTGCAATTTCGATTCCATTTTCTAACCGTTCACATGACTTGCGAGATAAAATAGTCGTTTATAATGATGATAATTTTATTGCACTTATCAATATTTTATTATTTTATTTTATTAAATTTTAAATTGGATTTCTAAACGAGGATTTATGACTAATAATAAAAACGGAAGAATGCATGAATGACTTATTCATATACATATACATATGGATGACTAATTCATGCATTCTTCCGTTTTAATCCAACAGTATTTTAAAATCAGGAAATGTAATGTTAAGTCATTGAAAATAGACTTATTACGAACATTGCCATTATTTATTTATTTTTTTTATTGTTTTTTATTGTTATTTTCAGTATTATTATCGTTATTATTGTTGTTACTACTGGTAATAATAGCAATAAGCAATACACTCGCTGCCTGTCTTATTGTATTGTAGGATTTAAATGCATTCATTCAGCATCTGTTATCATCATTGTAGTTGTTGTAATTGTTGTATGTTCGCTATCAATTTTTTCTGAATTCGACACCATTCATCATTCCAAATTTAAAACACGCTCAAAAAGCATTAACTCTTAATGCTTTTTGAACGTTAAGAAATCCGTTTTTTTTAACTTGTATTTTTTTTCAGCCTTACAATAATTTTCATATAGTTTTAAAATTATATATATAATTTTAAATTATAATTTGGTATCGTGAACGTGATTTGCGTTCACATGTTCATGTTTAATAGTTAATTAATTAATTAATAACAAATTATAAATAAAGTGGGAGCTTCTTATAATTAATTAATTAATTAAACTGTTATGACATATTTTTGGTACATGTCTTGTGTCAGCTGGAAAAAACAAACTTATCGTTGAAATTGAATTGTAGTACCGCAACTTCTGCTGCTCAGCTATGCTTTACTTTCAATTGTAAATTACTTTTTTGGAAAAGTTTTTTATTTTTAACTTTTGAAGATTTTATTATCTTATTGATTATATATATATATATATATATATATATATATATATATATATATATATATATATATATATATATATATATATGTAACAATAAAAAATATACAATAAATAAATAAAACAATTTAAAACCTGTGATCATTAGCAATTGATGGTTGTGTCAGTGTGCTCGGCTGAATTTAGGACATTTTCATTTAATTTTCACATGATTGGTTGTTGAAGAATGACGTTGTTGATCATCGGAGTGCCAAATTTTCTCATATAATGGAATATTTATTAATATAAATTATGTTTATATATGTACAGTAATGTCATGTTATATTTTTTTGTAATTTGTTGCTGTTGAGTGGTTTCAATTGTGATTTTTCTTTTAACGTCATGCTGGTTTAATTAGTGTCTTAAATAATTTGTCGCTATAGCATCTACAATTTATGCACAACTCGTTTACAATTATCCACAATTTATCCAATATATAACCACAATTTATGGACTTTTTAACAAACAGTCATTAATTTACAATTGCCCTATGTTATAAGATGGTGAATTTTTATTAAAACTTGTCATTTCACATTCACATGTTGAATCCGTTGTTTTATGAATAATTCCTGCCTTTGTCGATTGAAGTGAGTTTTTATTTGTATGCCATTAAATTCTTCCATATCTTTACTGTGTTACCCAGTCACTTGTAAATATATATTTATATAGTCCTAAAACGGTAAGAACGTTTAACGATCTTCACATGAATGCTTCATCAAATAACGACGCAAATGTTTCTGCACTCCTCTTTTCATTACTTTCCTTGTCTGGCTGGAAACAAATTTACTTCAGTTCCTGCTTGCATGGTTTTCCGCTTAAACGTTGTAAGTGCTTCACACCGTTCCTTAAGGGCTTCACACTTTCTTCAGGTTGGCGATCATTGCTGACGTAGTTTACGATTAAATTAGTTTGGTACATTTGCCACACTTGAAAGTCACTTCGGAGTTTCATTGTTAGTAGATGGAAGGTGATGAACAATGAATAGATGACTTTTCAATTCACTAGCGTATTGATTTCCGCGAAATTGATGCTCAGCCGACATACCGGTAAGTACGTACGTACCAAAATCCTACGTCGAGTTTTCCAAACAGCCTGCCTGCATACCTGCACACAAATCGTATATTATTATTGTCATTATTCTACCGTAGTCGAGCTGAGGTACAATGAGAACCGGGCTAATGTAATTTGCTAATGAAACATAATCAGTTTATCGCGGTCTGTAAGCTTATTGCTCCTGCTCAGGTGAAACTTCACTGAAAATCTGCTTTAATGACTCGCATGACGGATTGCAGTTATGTTGATGATTATGTAAATGATGATGATGAAAAAGAAGATGATGGCAATGATAATTATGGAGCTGATGAACTATTAACGATGATTACTATCCTGCTTGAACCACACTTCGTTATAAAGTCCAATTGAAAATCAGCCTGTTTATTTTCTTATGTTAAAAATTTCATAAATAGCTAGGCAAGATTTCATTTCAAATCAATTTCTGTGCACCAAATCAGAAATAATAGAGCGGAGACCATGGTGATGCACCGCAAACAACTTGTACGTGCATGCACTGCGCACTCGACACGTGTACGTACGTTCACGACACACACGTGCTTCCGTCAGATCGGTCCTGTCTCATCCCATTATATGCTGTCGTCATGATTTCTCCTGTCCCCATGTATTTCTCAATCGGTGGAAAACCTTTATATTTATATATGCTTACATATACATGGGAGAGAGAGGGGGGGGGGGGGGGGGGAAAAAAAAAGAGAGTGAAAGCCATTGAGTAAAATTTGTTTACTATAATTAACTCCCGATTAAAGAAGGGAACCCATTTTTTTAACTTGCCCATTTATTCATTCATTCAATGATCCTCTGTAATCCCTTAAGGGACCGTTGAGGCCGATGGTATTCTTCTATCTCTCCAAAATTCTTTTCTTTCCCTCGCCATTTTCATTGAGCCCAATGTTCCAACCCCCGTCCATTCCGTGATATCATCCATCCACTTCCTCACAGGTCTTCCCACTTTTTTCTTCCAGTCCCTCTTTCTCATCAGTACTTTTTTGATCAGTCTGTCGTCTGTCATTCTGCAGATGTGCCCAAAGATACCCAGCTTTCTTTCCTTGACACTTTCATACACAGTTTTTTGTTTTTCAAGTTGTTTTCTTATGGCATCGTTTCTTATCTTTTGTCTCCAACTGATTCCCAGCAACTTTCTATAACAATGCATCTCGAATGCTTCCAGTTTGTCTTTGTCTCTTCTTCAACGTCCAAGCCTCACATGCATACATCAGTGTAGAAAACACACACGCTTCTACGATCTTTAATTTTGTTTTTGTAGATACATTACCGTTTTTCAATATTACTTTCAAAGATGCAAACATTCCTATCGCGATTGCTATTCTTTTATCAATTTCTTTCGAACAATTATTGTCATCAGTTATGAGGTTGCCCAGATATATAAATTGGTTCACTTGTTCGAGCTTTTCTGCTCCTATCTGGAATTCATCATTGTTTCCACCTGCTTCCGAAATCATTATCTTTGTCTTACTGCTGTTGATGTGTAGTCCATGGTTTCTTCCACCATCGTACGTCAACTCGATCAATTTCTGTAGACCCTCTGCACTAGATGCTAGCAGATCTATATCATCTGCAAACCTGAGGTCCCTTATCACTCTGCCTCCAATGTCGATTCCTTCAATATCTGCATTCTCCATTTTTTCCAAGGCTCTTTCCAACAGTGCTAAGAACAGTAATGGTGATATTGGATCTCCTTGTCTACTTCCTATGTTCGCTTTGATCCAGTCTCCCAGCTCTGTACCTACCCTTACCGCCATTGTTGACTCCTCATAAAGCCCTTTCAGCACCCTTACCATTTTTGTTGACACTCCCATACTTTCCAAAGTTGCCCACAAACCTTCGTGCCAAACTGAATCAAACGCCTTCTTAAAACCCACAAAACAATGAAAAGTTGTTTGACCTCTGCTTCCTGCATCTTCCAACAATAGTCTCAACATCAGGATTTGCTGGACTGTACTTCTGTCCTTTCTGAAACCTGCCTGCTCCTCTCCTAAATGCTGTTCTATGTCTTTCTCCAATCGTTCTTTCAAGATCGTCAGCATGATCTTGCATATATGAGGGATCAGTGCTATTGATCTGTAGTTGTTGCAGTCTTTCAGGTCTCCTTTTTTTGGCAACATGATCAAGATTGATTTACACCAATCTTCTGGCCATTTTCCACTGTCCCAGATTTCTTGGCAGATTTTGTGAATCTCATTACATACAATTGGTCCTCCCGCTTTGATCATCTCTATGGGAATTCCGTCTTTCCCTGTGCTCTTGTTGTCCCTCATTTTCTTCATTGCTTTTATTACTTTCTCCAATGTTATTTCCGTTTCTTCCTCATTGATTACTTTTCTTTCTTTTAAAGTCTGTAACATCTCCTTTGTATACGTGTTTTTATCTGTGAACAGGTCCTTGATATACCAGGGCGGTATTTAGAAATGTAAAAGGCCTGAGGCGGTGATGTTGTAGAAGCCCCTGATTGTTT